GGTGGAAAGGCGGTCGCGGCGTGTAGGGGGTCTCCGCCACGCTCTGGGAACGCCGAGGGGGCAGCGCGGGATGAGTCCGTGGTGAAAAAGAGAGCGCGGCGCCAGCCAGCCCCCAGGCTGCAGCCCGGCCGCTCTCGGTGGCTTCTCGGCTGCCGCCGCCAGATAGGGTGGGTGTAGGGATGGGTGTTGAGCCATGCCTAGCGCGTTCTGCTGAGTCCAAACAGCAGATGTTTGCTTGGAGAGATGAGTTGCAGGCATCTGGAATAAAGGATGTATTGAAGAAGGTGAATGAGTGTTAATCCCCAAAGGGAATTTCCTGAGTGACTCAGAACACCGAGAGTGACATTTACATGCTCATGTTTCACAGCTGAGGCAGTAAGATCCTGGCAGTCCAGATTTCAAAAGCTGCCGATAGATCTAAAAGTAAGAGTTTAGCTATTGGATCTGTGACCCATATGTGGAGGGAAGGTCCAGCTTGTAGACCCAGACCAGTTAGCTCCAGATTGAAGTCAGTGGCTTGACTGAAGAAGCTGGTCACTATGACCAATGCTGCTGTGACTGTTTCACTTTTATTTTTTCAATAATCTTTTCCCAAGGAGTGAAGACAGAGATTGTGCTATGAGTCAGTTGGCATGTTTCTGATATGAAAAGGCTATTAACATTCCTCTAGCTGAAAGGGACGGTGTGTTTGAGTTTTGTTACGAAAGCATACACCCCAGCCAGTGGTTACCACCCACTGGCCTCCTTGGTTTTACATGTGCTCATGCAGCTTGTATGCAAGCAACTGTGATCTTTCCTTTCTGTCAGGAAACCAGATCTGAAAGTCTCTGTGGATTTCAGTGTCTGTTATTCATGACTGTTTTCCGTGATGACAGACTTCAGGAGGAGTCCCATATCCTTTCTGTGTGAATGTGCCCACGACTTCTGGTGGTACAGGCCCAGCTTGAGTGGTAGGGCCGTGCAGTTCTGGTCCTTTAGGAAGTATCAGTTATAACTTTGATTCATGGGTACACAGCCTGGAGCTCTCTAAAACATGTCCCAGAAATAGGTTGTAGGTTGCGGACCTTTAGGATTTATTACCACATCTTCAGATTACTTCAATTTCATCAGTTATATATTATTTTATGTAACAGCAGTCCCAAGATTGCACCATGCAGAAGATGTTCATCCTCAGAAAAAGCACAGGAGAAAGCAAATGTTCTTTAGATTAGTGTTTAAGGCAGAAAGAGAGATGAGGTTTGAAAAGTTTAGACTTGCAGTTTGTAAAAAGAAAATCACTAGGTCAGTGTTTTTCCCTAAAAGATTTTTTTTTCTGAAACTCCACCCTCAGTTCTAGTAAACATTTCACAACACATCTCTGTTAGTGACATCATCTCTGTAGACATTTGTGTAATATGCTGTCATTGATGTAACTAGCCGGTTTTGCTTGATCATTCTGCACTAAATTTACAACAAAGGAATAGAATTTTCTTGCAGTTTTCAGTTTTGGCTCCCAGTTCTTTCAGACCATATTGTGATGACTGGTTTAAATCCTATTACACATATATCAGCCAGCCAGGTGAATAAAAGGACTCCACCTGAGTAAAATTGTCTTGTAAACTGTAGCTTTGTTATAATTTACGTTGAATATTACTTTCTCTAAAGCTGCACTCAATTACTTGTAAGACCAGAGCTCTGTCTTTGCTTGATTGCATTACAGAATAGCATGGTGCTTTCTGCTGCTATCTTCATCACGCTGATTGGCCTGATCATATACCTGCACTTTGTGAAAGTTGACCAGGAATCGCTACTGGTCATCGGCTCACTCGGCATCCAGGTGACTTCATCCTACGCTTCGGGGAAAGAGAGCACAACCTTCATTGAGATGGGTCAGGTGAAGGATGTGGTTATCAATGAAGCCATCCACATGGTAATCATACACAGTCTTTTGTCTCCTCTATCAGTGGGCATGCTCATGTCCAGTTTTCACGAGTGTGATTTACTGGAGCAATGACACGCAGCAACATCCATAGCTTTACTGACATCAAGAGCTTTGTTTCAGATTTCACTCTTTATTCCCCTGTCTGTTCTCTCACTTTCAAAGGAGAACTCAAGCCAAACCCATCCTTTAGATAATGACACTGACACTGAGTTAGTGGTTTTAGTTCTTTCTGTTGAACTGTTCTTACAAATCCTGATGCCAAACTCCATAAGTAGTCAAGATGGAGATAAGAAGATAGACAAGAGATGATTTTTCCTGTTGCTGAGGTTTTCTGTAAAGCTCCTGTAGAAAAGCAGATCTTGCCCTCCCAGCATGCATGCATTTCAGGTTAAAAATTTAATAGAAAACAAGTAAAATAATTTTTTTTATTGTGTGAAGCAAGGAAAGCTATAGATACAAACTTGTAGAGTTGAGTGTGGCCTGGGGTCATTGGCCTTTAGCCCGATAAGTTGAAACAGATCCTCTTTCTCTGATAACTCCAGGCACTTTGATAGCGTTTTCAAACTCTGATGATTTTGTCTGTTTCTCTTGTAGCAAAAAGTTATCTACTACCTGTGCATCCTCCTCCAGGACCCTGGAGATCCTCAGGGAGTATCTGAGGTTGTGCCACTCTTTCAGGTGAGTTTGACTGTATGGTGGAGAAATCCAGATCCATGGTCTGTGTCAGCTGTCTAAGCCTATTGTCATCCCACTACAGGCAGCGGGTTACAGTGCCTTGCCCTGACTGGGCCTTCAGGGTGGGTGGTAGAAATCTCACAGAATTTTGTCCCAGGGATGTTTTTTTCATTTGCCCTCCATTCAAAGCACAGGGAGCTGTGTAAATCTGAACCCTACCAGGATTTGCATGAATGAGACGTCTTTGGCTCACATAGGGTACTGAGGACTCATACAGCTTTCTGTGTAGTCTACGCTTAGTGTTACTGTCGTAACTACGGCACTGTGCTGCAGCTGATTTTTCTCTTAGCTCTGTGTGCCAAAAGTGCTCATAAAAACCTCCTTGGCATTAGAATGACTTCCCCTGTCTCACCCGTTGACAAAGATCACAGTACAAGCTGTGAGCAATTTGCTTAATGTATAATAACTTGTTTGCTTTACCATTACCCTGTCTCCCCTGTCTCTTCTCTTGCTAACTTGTTCTGACTGTTGAGAATCCCATTTTTGGGGTGGATTTTCTTTCTGCATGTACATGCCTAACACAACAATGCCCTGACCCTTGAGTGGTGGTAAGCCGTACAGGAGTACCTCACACCTTAATCTGCTGAGCTTTATAACCCTCTCTGTCCTCTGTAATTCACCTGCTGCTGGTGACTTACATTTTGTAGTCCGCATTCAGTTTATGACTGGATACAGTTAGTCTTCAGATACATACTTATGGGTATAAATAGACTATTCCATTGATACTTGCTAACTCAGTCCCACATTTGTAAAGACGTTTACTAACAATAATACAAATTCAGTATTTCACACATAGTCAAGGGAAAACATTGATTTTTTTTCTTGGAAATTAACAACTGATAAATTCCAGAGACCTGCCATCAGGAACCTGGTTTTAGTTACACATGCTCCTTGCCAGCTTCAAAGATGCTGCCTGGCGTTTGTGTAGTTTTGATTTTTTTTCTAGCTCAACTCTGGACAGTTTTATTTTCATGGAAATACCTTAGTATTGGTAGAGTTGACCACCCAGCAGAAGAGGTACAGAAAGAGCTGTGTCAGTTTGCAATTCATTACCCGTCAGTAATTCTCACTTTAACATGCAAGTTAGTATGTTACTTAGTTTTGAAGGAGCAGTAATTAGTAACTTTATCGCGTGTCTTTCATTGGGTTCCTCTTATGTCAGCCTTCAGAAATACAGTTTACCGTGTCACTGAGCCCAGGAGCACTTCTGCGCTGAATTGACCTATTGTTCTCTTAAGCAACGCTTGCAAGGAGAGGCATTGGATGGACTTTACACAGTAACACTGTTTTGGGAGCTCAAAAGTCATGAGACTAGGGACTGGGGGACAGGGAAACTTTCACCTCCTTGCTGATTTTAATCTGGTCCAGGTTAGAAGTGATGGGAAATCATTATACTTTGACCAGCATTCGCTCTTTGTGTGAAATGAATTGATAGTTTCGGTTAACCTTCCATTGTCCTTTTGTTGACAGTACTAGCAGAGGCCAAGGGCCAGGTGTCTAAATTCCCTGTCTTGAAGGTATATTTTTCAGGGTGGAGGTCTTCTAGGATGGTGGATTAGTGTATGGAAACCAGCTGTTTGGTAGGTCTCTAGAGGGAGTACAGCGTAATAGGAAGGTTAGTGGGTTGGGAGGTGTGGGTGTTCTTCCATGCTGTCACTCTGAACTGTGAGCTGAGAAAGGGGAGGATTTCTGATGTGGTGAAAGATTCAGGCTAACTGCAGAATGGTGCTGCATCTTTTGACCTGACACCTTTAGGGACTGGCATTTTTCTCCACAGAGCAGGTATGGCTTATGGGAATGTGTTTGCATTCCAGTATCACCAGCTTACATCAAACACCTCCTCAAGTCTGATGGATTATTTCTCAACAAACATGTAAAAAGGAAATCTATTCTCCATTGACTTAACATGAGAGAGCTCATCAACTACACGTATCTTGGTGTTGCTTTCCTTATACATGCATATTTCTGATAGTCAGCTTTGTGTCATCTGTGTCCACATTCCTTTCTCTGCCTGACACTCTCATTAGGGGGAACTTAAAGCTTTCCAGCTCTTCTGCAGTCAGTTCAGAGCCTGATTCTCTGTTGTTTGACTTAAATTCTAGAACTCCAAGCCACGTCTGGACTGCTTGATAGAAGTGTACAAAAGTTGTCAAGAAATCCTGGAGCAGAGGAAGACAGCTCCACAGTCAAGTGGAATAAAATAGAAAAAAAAAAAAAATCAAGGCAGCAAACTTGCAGCAGGACTCAGACACATGGAAAAGCAAGCAAAACTGCCCCATGGCTTTTTTTAATTAGATGAGTGGGAAGTGATGCAGCAGTACAGTGATGTTAGGGCTAAAGGCCTGTGCAGGTTCACAGAGCTGTTACAGCAAATGTCAACTGAAGCACAGAAGTGAACCTTGAAATCCTCTGCTATGAAGACAGGTGAGCAGAACTTTTTAGACTCAGACTTGCCTCTCCAGAAGTGAATTATGGGGAAACAGGGCAAAGGGAGGCAAGAACATGCATCAAATGTTTACTCCCTTGTGGATCTGAAAATTATGACAAACTGTTAATGTAACCTTGGCTGGACTGCCAAAAATATGTAATGTTTTTGTTTGTTTCTGTTTAACTCTGCTTGAAAAAAGCATAGACCACTCTAAATACCAAAGCTCACGTGTGGGCTGGGATGGTAACTTCCTGATCCACGGGAGAATTTCCGAAATAAAATACCATAAAATTAAAATACACTGTTGCATTCAATTATATTTAATAAAATAAACATAGGAGAGCAGACTTTGACCTCTTTGGGGATCTGCTTGAAAGAGTTCCATGGGATGGCGCCCTAGAGGGAAGAGCAATCCAAAAAGCTGATTGATAGTGAAGGATCACCTCCTCTAAGCTCAAGAACAGTCCACCCCAACGAGCAGGAAGCCTGCGTGGGTGAACAAGTTGCTCCTGGCAAAATTCAAACACTCAAAAAGGAAGTATATAGGAGGTGGAAGCGGGGACAGGTGACCTGGTGGGAGTACCACAATGCCGTCTGGGATGCAGTTAGGAAAGCCAAAGCCCACCAGGAGCTGGATCTGGTGAGGGATGTCAAAAGCAAGAAGAAGGGCTTCTGTAAGTACATAATTAGCAAAAGGAAGGCAGGGAAAATGTGGACCCATTGCTGAAGGGGCAGGGGCATGGTGACACAGGACATGGAGAAGATGTGGCATTGAAAAGGCCACATCAATTGCTCTGAGAATATGAGAAAGGTGTATTGTTGAAAATAATGACTATGTGAATAAAGCTTGATTGATCTGTGCTCTTAGGATTGGGAAATTCTTTGTTGGTGAGCTGAAAGTTACGGTAACCTGTTACTGGTATCTTTCTCTTTTTTTTTCCATGACTCCTTAGTAATACAACTGAGACGAAATATCAAAACAAGAGCTAAACTGTTGAGTTGGCAGGAGCTCGGGATCATGCTCCTTTGCATACAATGCTGTACTATGCTCATCTACATAATCTGTAATTAAAACTTGTGGCAACATACCATCGTGTGATATGGTAGAGATAAGGTGCTTGATTTTTTTTTCACAGTACCATCAAGTTTGAAAAACAGGTTAGCTCATGTCACAGGAAGTATTCTCATTGTCCAAGTGAAAGGCAGCAGCTTGGGGATGTTGCCACTGGCTTTTGGGTAAGGTCTAGGTTACTTATTTGTTTACAGTTTTATTTTTCATAAATGAAATGTTGGGGTCGGCCAGATGTTTAATTCCAGTGGTGCTGTAATGTAAGTTGGTAGGTCTCTGAAGTTGGTGAAGCAGCACCCTGATCAAGACTGTTTGGTTACAAGTGCAGGCAGAATGGAGAAGGGTGGGTGTTGGGGCAGAGGCAGAAATCAGCTGTTAATAGTGGCAGCAGGCCCTGGGAGTGTGACTGTGCCCATGACCACAGCAGAGGTCCTCTGACTAAGAGCCATGTGGTATGTTTGAGTTGCATATGGCTCAGGGTGTGGTTCAGGCAGGCTGTGTTTCTTCATGGGGAGGAAAAATGGTCAAGGCCCTTGAGGAGCACTATAGGAGCAGCAAGATTTGCTGAGCCATGGGGAGAGCACGTCAGAAAATAAATTATATCTCAGCAAAATGGACAGAGCCTTATTTAAGAGTGTGCTGGGAACATGGACTACGCTGTAAAAATTGCATGAAGTCCTGAGAACGTGCACTGAAGAAATGACCACATAACTGCATCCCAGGAAGAAGTCTGCAAGATTGCTTTAGCCATCTTCTGAAAGAGTGACCATCCTGTGCCCCTGGGAGCATGCTGCCACTAAAGCTGAGAGATGATCAGCAGAGAGAAACAAGGAACCCAACTAGGGCAGGTCTGCACCAGGTACATGCCTGGATACCAACACAGTCTTTGTCCATTTTTATTTACATCAAGACTATTTTGGCTTTAGAGGAGTTTCTTTCATTCTGAGAATAATACAGTTTAATTCATCGTAACTGCATTTTATTAAGAACAGAAATCTCACAGTATCTCCCAGTCTTTTACATACACACAGCAGTTAGGAAAACAAAGGCTTTTGTCTTCTCTTGCTATGCTGTAGCAATAGTCATTGCCAAAAGCATTGATTAAAATAAAAATAGTTTTCTCTACCCAAAAAATAATACAAAATAGGTATCTACACAGGGTTGGTTGGTTGAAGTCAGGTAAGCTATAAATAGGAGGTATATGTGCATCCATCAGAGTGGGGTGGTCCCTGAACTACTCAAGTATTGGTGAATATTTTTAAGAAATAAGCAAGAAAGGAAGTTCTATATGCCATGCTTCTCAATTTAAAGTGCAGTTGTGGCAGAAAATAATGAGCTTCAGAACAGCTCTTGCTTATTCAACATTTCTGCTTCCTGTTTGCCCTGGTACAAGTCTCTAAGGACACGAGTGTGAGCACTGTAAGGTAAGTACAGCCTCTAAACTGTGGAGACTTTTATGCCTTGAGCATTCCCAGTACCGATGACAGCTCAGCTTATTCTGAAGCAGCTTTGTTACTGGTGGGATACCAGAAGCAGGCTGCCAAACGGACCTTCAGATACAAGAAGAATTGTTAGGCACAGGTGACTGAGTAAGGAGGAATGATGCTCTCTCAGTTGCAGCTACACCAAGATCACTCTGTGTGCATGTGTAAGAAAGAGAGGAAATACATACTACTGACCACTATCAGGATATAGAGGTGACTAAAAGTATTAAGTTAAAAAAAAAAAAAGACTAAATACCTTCTTAAAATTGTTCTTGGCTCAGAAAACTTCTACCCTTTTCCGTATCTTCAAGGGATGGTCCTTGAATTCAAAACAAGTGGATACATTACAGCATGTGCAAATCAGGTGTCTCTTCATACAATCTTTTCCTGGCTTACGTCTGCCATATTGTTTCTACAACCCACCATGGGTTTGAGTATTTTTTTATTTCTGTTTTTTTAATGTTACAAAGATGTTGATAAGGGATTGTTTGTAATTATTTTTGCCTGTCTCATGCTGTTCTCTTAATTTGTGGCTTTGCACCCATTCTACATGTGAATCAAAAACTTCTTGGAAGTATCAGTTCCTCTGTGTGCATGAGTTGGATGTTTCAAGGTTGGTGGCAGGTACTAGAGTCAAAACATGGGTATGGTTGGTTTATTCATTTGCAAATAGCTCTGGTTTGCTATTGCTGAATTCTTTCTAATGCTTGGATTCACACTTTTAATTTGGGAAAGTTGCCCATGAATGCATAATTATGAAGTTGCACATGGTACTTTTGAAAGGGGAGTTATTCTTCCTTAGTTTTGTCAGAATGCTTATCAAAATAGCTGAATTTAAGCCAGGTAAATTTAGGTTTTTCAAGAACTGCTATTTCTCTTGTATTTGTTTAAAATCCATTGCCTTTCTCAATCGTAACCAAGTCCCTCTGAAACAGATCAACAAAAAGCCACCCACCATTCTCTAGGAAAGTCAGAAGAACAATACTTGAGTACACATTTGCTGACTACCTCCTCCTTGCTACAGTAGCATGAAGGAAGCAGGAGTTTGAAAGGATCAACTTCTGTCAAGTCAGAATGACAAGAGATGGTTTGGGAAGATCTGTTCCAGATGCTGAAAGATAGAAAAAGTACAAAATTTGCTTGCCTTGTCTTCCTTTGTCTGAGATTATGTGCACATAAACACATCCCAAAACATCTACAACAGTGATTAACACAAAGTGCTTGTCAGGTGGAAGAGCATGGGACACATTCAGCCCTGCAGCAGAGATCTAATGTCCATCTAATTGCGAAGAACAGCATCGACTCCTGAAACGCATCAGTCCTGTAGGAGCTAGGGTATCCTCCGACACTGTTCCAGTCTGCTTTGAGTCCTCAACGTGCAAAGACACTATGTTTCTACCTTTATTTAAAGTTTAAAATACTCTTGAGTAGCACTGAACTCTAATTCTGTGCTCCCTATTTCAGGTCTGAAATTACCCTTGACTTGCATCAGAACTGTTCTTGTCAGTTGAGTTCCTCTTCCTTCTCAACCGTGTCTTTTCTTTCACATATGGAGCAAGGACTTGGAAAGTTTTTGTCTTTGAATATTAGCATCAGTTTCAGGGAGGAGTTGTTATAGCTCTAAGGAAAAATAAATTGTCCTCCGAGTTGTGTTAAGCAGTTGCATAACAACTATTATAGTCTCTGCAAAAATACTATCCTAATAGTTGTTCTGGGAGTGGCACCATTGAATTTAAACAGTGGTAAAAACTTTAATATGATGGCTAGTCACCACCCAGAGCACAGAGCTGAAGTTAGGTCTAAACTACCTGATCAGACTATGTCACATTAATCTTTACACTTCGGTCATAGCCTTTTCAGTGTGTATTACTTTATGATGCAGTGATGTGCAGCTCCTAATACAGGCAGTATTCAACAGGATGCATCCTTGTACAGGGTTCATGCCACACTATCCATTACCACCTGTTTTTACTTTCAATAGGACTGCGAGTTCAGCCCATTGCAGTCAGATAGAAGCCTACATACCATTTAAATCTGCCTTGCAGAGGGTGTAGTCTAATTTAGGTAACAAGTGAACAAGTTAGGGATTGATGCAAACAGAAGACTATTGGAAATAATAACTGAAAGGGGCTATGATGAGGAAAAGAGGTCACTAGGAGTTTTAAGAGCTGGACTCAGATTCCAGACACAGGGTGGGCAGTGATCTAAGGCAGGTGCAAAGCTGAAATTGGGAGGGATCGAAGAAAACGTATGCGCTTGTAAGCAAGGCAGTATGATCAGGAGATGGAAGAAGGATGGCTGCAAGGGAAGAGGGCAGATGTGACTGGAGCACTGTGCAGGCAGATGACCTGAGGCATGGTATTTTGGATGGAGTGTGGCATGGAAAATAAACTCCTGCACAGTCCCCAAAATCAACAGGGTTTTTTTAAGAGAAAGGATGCTGCCTCTACCCATACTAAGGAACTTTGTCTACCACTATGGAAAAAGAATCAGAGCCCACATTAAAGTAAGGTGTGTAACCAGCAAAATCATGGAGTCTCCAATTCAGTACAGAGCAGTCAAAAAAAAAAAAAAAAAAAAAAACAAAACCCACCACCAAAAAATTCCCACCCTGAACAAAAAAAACCCAAACCAAAATCCCCAAAGCCATTTGGAATGAGCCCTCAGAGCAGGGTGGGCCCCTTGGTGCTTCGGGGCACGGAAGGCAAAAAGCACCGACTTTCAGTCTCCCAGAGCTTGTTAGCAGGTGTTTTGCTTCGGGAGGGCTGTGTGGAAGATAGGAGTGAAGGTGTCGAACGGTAGTTAATATAGCTGGCAATAAGAAGTGTTGCTTCAACAATCTAGGGAAAAAAGAAAATGATTAACTGTAAGTCAATTAGAGGCAAGAGTGCCCTTTGATTTTTAGAACCTATTGACTGCATAACTTCTGCAAATGGCTCTCACATGGAATTGTTTGGTTTTGAAATGAAGGTCTGTCTTTAAGAGTTAGGTAGAGTAAGTCTCTTGATTAAAGGTTCCAGCTTACAAGGGATTTTTTGAATGTATATAGCTAGCGCAGCAGCCAAAAGTACAGTCCCCAGGGCTTGTACAAAATGCCCAGCTGTGATACTGCCAGCTCTAAAGAAACTCACTGTTCATTTTGGAATTACCTTTGGAATTGCCATTGTGAAAAGGAGTTTTTCAGTGCTGTTTTTTCCAGAAGTCCTTTCTTTCATTTGACTGACTACAATCATGAAGTCATCTCGACAGCCTCCAAAGGTCAGCACAGAGGAGTATGAATAAGAGACCTTCAAGTGCTGCAGACAACAGAGAGTTTGAAAACAGTCATAGTTCTGTAAAAGAAAAAACGGCCACCTTAAACTAATACACTTGCTACTTACTGCAAGAACACCAGATCTCCAGCAGTAATAGGCAATACAGGTAACTGGCTCTATAGGTAACAGCTGGCAGAGAAAGCTCAAGTGAGAACTGAATTTGTAGTTTACTCCTGTCTTGCTCAAGCCTCACTGCTTCAGAGCAATAGTCCAAACGTGTTATATCCCAGATGGTGGTAGTAAAGCAGATACCAAGGAGATTTTGCAAGATGTATGAGCATTTTCGCTGCCCATCAAAGAGGCAGTTAGCTTTTACATGAAAGCCTACCTTACACTGTAGCTGTAATTTTCCTTTGTTTATGTAGCATTCAAACATAGCACTGACTTCCCTCATCTCTGACTTCTACAAATTAACTTCTGGATCCATTTGAAGTTAAAGACAAACTTTTAGTGACTGTAAGTGGACTCAGGGGAATGTCTTTCTGTGGGAGGTAAGTTATTTTTCTTAAACAGTGTTCCTCACCATACCATAATGTTATAATCCAGTATGCTGATACCATCTTCATTCACAGCTATCCAGACTGGACAGTCTTCCAATGAGGAAGGCAAAACAGGCTAGAGAAAGAGAAAATAATTAATTTAGGTATTTCTTGACATTAATCTTGGGTTTTAAGGATAAAGTGAAGATGATAGAGAATCCTGTAGGCTTACTGGTCTGACCTGCTTTGATTTTTAAGAGGACTTTTCTCAAAATCTGGAATAACTTTTCAGTTATATAATCTTTTCAGATTTACATAGAATGTAAATGCACATCAGTGCACTCTTCTTTCTTACATATTTCAATGCATGTGCATCAGTTATCTGTTAAAGATGAATTATGTGTTGTTATGGCTAATGACATGAATCTTTCCTGGGAATCTGCCATTACATGGCTAATGCCATAGGCTTTGCTGTTTAACTATTAGAAGTTATAAAATAAATTAATCATCAGAAAAATCGACATTACTTATACTCTGTGTGGAACTATTCTGTATTCTGATTCTTCAGTGTCAGTAACCTCAAATATCAGTAACCTCTTCTGCTTTTATTCCTGACAGTAGAAATAATTGTCTTTTCAAAAACTTCTTGTATATTTACTGATGAGCTCCCTTTCATCCTTAGACCTTATTCTGTAACTACAGCAGCTTTGACTTCAAAACAAGAGACATGTAACCATGAGCAAGACCCATTTCTAGTTTTCAACACAGGAAATTTCTGCTGGGTTGGGGAAGACGGTTAATGCCAAAACAAGATTTCTCAGACAGCCACTATGTGCTAAGACATTAGTTTGGACAAGGGTAGTAGGTACAGAGCTCCAGTGTGGTATGGGCTGAGGGATAGTACAAGTTCCTGAGAGAAGTACTCCTTCCAGCTGTTCTTTGCTCTCCCACTGATGCCTATGGGCTGGCAGCTTACCCAATATGTGCTTCAGTTTTTGTTTCTGCATTAGCAGTTCTTGCCTCTCTCGTGTGGCAAGGAAAGCAGCCAGCTCTGCATCAAGCAGAGAACAGGACTGAAATACCCATTCTCCTTTTAGATAGCATCAGCTGCCAGGTGTGATTTACAGGGGGACTCTTCCCTTCCACCTGCCTTCCACTATGTAAATAGTATATTTTAAACTATCATTGTAGCCTTGATGACCAGGGAAATTCCTGCCTGAGAAAACACTGGAAAGCTTTGTAAGGAGAGGTAGTACTCTATTTTGATCAACTGATGCAGCCAGGGAACCTTCAGTATTTACTTACTGAACGCTAGCAACCCCTAGTGTTTAGAACATATTTCTCCCTTCCTTCTAAACCTTTGTGATACCAGAGCTGTTCATTCAAAACAGAGTATTGAATTTTTTTCCCCTCCTGAAGTAGAAGCATTTTCAACCCATGTTACCAGAGAACATAGATACATCTCTGCTCAGACAGTTGACTCTCAGGAACAGAAGAAAGTTGTGCTCCAGTTACCTTAGCAGCAAATATTTTGGTTCCAAAGAGAGGCCATTTCCGGGCCACCGTCAAATAAATTCGAACACATTCTGGTGGTGAGCACCCCTGCAGCACCATCCACTTTGTTGCCAGCCTGTCAGCCAGTTGCCTTTCAGAATCCAAGACACAAGACAGCATTATTTACTAATGTCTTCCAAAGAAAGGTGGGCAAAATTGAAACAGTTAATAAATGTACCTTTTATTCCAAAAGGCTTGTTCTACACAGCACAGTGGACAGGGTGGATTGTACAACCTGAGTTTATTTTAGCATTTTCTCTACTTCCACAATTATTTTACTACTAGTTATACTGTAATGCTCAGGAATATCAGTCACACATGGGTTGCTCACTGGTGTATATATTAAAAAACTGTAGCTACAAACATTCAAGCAGCTGTTACAGTAAAATCCTGCCCAGCTTATCTTCACATTCAATTATATCCTCACCTTCATCTTGTCTGTAGTCTGCTCTATACAGAGTAGCAATATATATTAACTCATTCTTGATCTGGCTCACTAGGGATAGTTTGGCAGTTATCTTGCTACATGCAGATGGAAATCTGCTTCCAACAAGAGGAAATTGTGTTAGTTCCACCACTGCATCCCTAAGTAGCTTTGGGTCTGGAAGATGACCATTTTCTCCCTTTAAAACAGAGCTGAGATCCATGGCAGCATCTGAATTCTGTACTTGAGATCTCTGCATTGTATTTGAGAATTTCCAAGTCAGAACATCAAAAAACCCTGCCAAAATATGTCCTACCAGAATTACTACATGGCCCGAAGCAGCCCATATGTGCTGGCTTTATGGCTTGTTGCAAATGTTAGGCATCTGGATCCAATTGACACTTGGGGGAAGGGTAAGAGAAAAATTCAGAAAAAAAAAAAAAATCATTTTAGGCTTAGGTTAGATTTTCTTATAATAAGAGATGGCTAATTGTGAAGTGAAAGGCTTCAACTTTTTGTCTATGGGAAAATTAGTTGGTGATTTGGCTCTTTTTATATTAGAAAATAGCAGTAAGCTATTTTCTTTTAAAGGAACCTTTTCCTGACACTCATGATTTGTTTAAGTTTCTACATTAAATTATCTTGACAGGGCTCCTTGAAAGTTCTTAAAGACAGAATTTTGCAAGTAAAATTTGTTTTCAGTGCAAAGTGTAGAAGAACCAACAATTTACCTGAGCTGTTCAGGAGTAATGTTTTGCTTGTAGCGTTTGGGGTAGAATTTATCTAAGACCTGATGGAGAAGATGCTGCATTTTCGACTGTGATGTTCCCCCAGGACTTGAAGATCCTGGTCGATCCAAATCCCCATATTCCACCTAAGACAACACTATAGTTTATAGTGCAACAGAACTATGGAACTTTAATGCAGTAGAACATCCATGAATTTGCATACCAGTAACTACTGTGTTTATTAGTCATGCAAAAAGATACCATTAGGCTGGGGAATTGTGTCTACAGCATTTACCATAGTAAACGTATACAACAGAGCAACTACTGAGGACACAACTGCTCAAGGAATTCTTTACTGATGTAAGAAAATAAAACAAGATCTCACCCAGCTACTTGTTGTGGGGAGACACTTCTGTATAACTGCCAAGCTTTTGGGGTTTATTTTGAATTGGCCAATGAAAACAGCACATTTGTAAATAGTTTGGACAATGTTCCCAGCTTCTTCATCTCAGTTTGCATTGTTTTAACAAATGCAATAATCAGTCAGCAAGAAACTATTGTCCTATGTACCATGCCCACAACCCCTAGTGTGTGTTTTACGTGGTAAAATGATAAATGCGAGCTTGGAGATCTAATGGAGGATCCTATAAGATCGCTTCTTCAGTAAGAGGCTATTGGCAGTGCAACAGGGAAAGTTTTTACTGTTAATGGAATTCTAGTAGTGATACTATTTCCATATCTCTACTAAGGCACTCATTGGAGCTGTTCTGGGGATAGTCCAACCTGTTTTTTCTAATATTTTTCTTCAGAAGAAAGGAGAGGCACTCCTATAGCAAATTTCCCTACAGCCAAAGGTGTTTCAACAACGTATATATGCTGGTATAATGTGTTTGTCATGGTATATCTTGGACTGTATGTCTGGTAAGAAAAACCACCTTTGATTAAAAGATAGCTACTTAGTCAAAGATACTCAGTGTACAGCTGACATTCCTGGAGGACAAAAGGGAGGATTTCAGCCCATAGCCATACTCACCTGAGCCATCAGAGCCGCCATTTCCAGAGCTAATTCCTTATTAACAGGAAATCTTCCATTGGTTATTTCATTGCTGACTTGGAAGGCCAGTAGCAACCGCTCACGGTCTGTCTCACCTTTGGCCTGGCTCCGAAAATATAGCCTAAAACACAGAGAGGATTGTGAAGGTAAAAAGCAGAGGGAGGAACTTTAATCAAGGTGAGTAAAAAAATAGAAGTAGGTTGTGGGGTTTTTTTCCCCCTCCTTCTCCAAAGTGAACTTTGTGTATTGTCGGGGTACTGGACAGAGATTTGGAAACTGCAATGCTTCCCTTATGAACAAGATTTGAGCAAGAAGGCTTAAAAAATATTTTCTAGCTTTGGAAGCCATTTGAATACTGTAAGCCAAGCACTTCAAGACAGTGAAGCCTTATTAAACACAAGTAAATCAGTGTCCATCCATCCCCATCAAGCTCAGACAAGCAAAATTTAAGATACGGCCTTCTCTGCTTACCACAGAATAGAGAACTACCTCTGCCTCACATGTATAAGCTTCTACAAGGCAACCCTGCAGACTTGTTATTTTTGCCAGCTTTGCTTTGACCACTTAGACTGATATGGTTATTAAAAAGGTCTTCAGTTTGCTTCAGCAGGAAATAAGAGACCAAATTAGCAGGCTTTATTTCAAAAATTGGAGAAGCATTCTTGTAAATCGAAGATTCTCACTATTTTTTATTCCTCTCACTTTGACCTGGTATAGCAATATGGCTAATGGGGGTTGAAGACACCAACTTGGGGAAGACTTCCCAGAACCATTCCTCATGCATACCTATTGACAGCTCACACCATCTAATTAAAATATTAATTTAAAGCTGCATTTATGACTATATATTCCACAATACCACACAAGATACTCATTCCAGTGGGCCAGTTTGTTTATTTTGATGTCACTTTAAGATTAACACCACCATTAGGACCATACTGACCTCACACATCTTATCAGAGTCCTTGGTGTTAGAAGAACCCAACCTTGGAAAGACCTTATCAAAACATCCTTGCTGTCCAGTCTAGGCACATTCCAGTCCAACAAAATAATGCTGCAAAGTTTCACTCCTGAAACAAATACTGCCTTCTGGGTCAAAAGCAGTAACTCTTGCTTCTACCTCCATTATACCAACTAAAAAGTTGACAGAAATTTGTTTCCACCATTACAGTCAACAAAATCTTCATACTTTCAATACAGAACTTTGTCTTTTTGGTTTTTGGGGTGGCCTTTTTTTCACCTGTAAAGGGAATTCACATGCAGAAAGCTGTTCCTCATTCCCATACACAGCTCTCCATTCACTGCAATTCAGAATTCCTGTCTGTATTATATTGTATCCTATAAACTTCTTCCAGTTTTTGGTTTAGATCTTTGTCTCGCACTTCCCCTCTCTACCATCTCTCATCACCTAACTTTTAACATTTCTTTATAAAAAGTCTGGGCACTGCTACTACACGTCTCTTCTACAGCTCATGCAATTTAGAACATTGTTCTTGTATCTTTTTTATCTTTGTGATTCTTCACTTAATTGCAAGTTTCAGCATATTAATTTTCACTGGTGATTTTTCCCCCAGGTCTCTCTTCCTCTCACCTAACACACATTATTTAATTATGTTTTAGGATCTAGGCAAATGAAATTGTGCCAAGTATGTCTTATTGTGCTACAGCTAGTTCATAACTCATTTTAAGTCTACTTTCCTGTTGTAAAGTATTTTGCATTTTACCTCTAGGCCATATACCCTCTTTTATACATGTACCACACACAAAAGTCATCACATCTCATGTAGGATTTGAACGCATCTTAGCTAAAATAGTTTTGGCACTAACAGTAATATAAATTACTGGACATCTACAGAGATATATGCAGTCTAGAAATGTTTCATTAACAGCAGTAGTGACGCCAACAACAAAGCACAATACCTGTTCTTATAGGTCAACTTCACAATTCTTGTGCCACCTTCGTATTTCCCAGGATGCAATTCTTTCAAGGCTTGTTCCCATTTGGAAATGACATCACAGATCTTTAAAACAATATCATGAGGAGAGAAGAGAAACTGAGGTGAAATGTATAGTCAAGACTTGAAGGGAAAGTAAGTGAAAAAAGTGTTGTGGAACACAGAGATAAAGAAATAGTCTGAATCAGGACAAACACAGGTAAAAGTGATAAAACAATTCTGTTTTCTATTACACAGCATGTAAAAATTAAAACATTTCAACTGAAACCTCTAGCTCTGATCTGCAGGGGAACACGTGTAAATGAATTCTGGTCTGGTAGCAACTCTGTGGCTACGTCTATGTTAGCAAGTAGCAAAACCCCAGAGGAGCAGATCTGCAGTGGAACACCCATTCCTAAGATCTATGCCCACACTACAGGAGTTACAAAGGGTTTTCTTTTCAACTAGCTTTCATCTGATCAAATAGCCTGAAAGCCCACTACTATGTTGGATGACATCTTCCAGCTCATGTTTCATATAAAAAATAAACCAAAAAAACCCGTTTCACACTTTCTAAGGTTGCTCCTTAATGTGAATCAAAGCCTGGTTAATAGGAACAATTGGTAGGTTTGCTTCTAAAGTGCCCTCCTGAGCCTAACTAAAGCACTAACGTATCCTTTGAATAGCAGCTGTCTACATGCATGGCTAAACCAAACCCTTGGAATGGCAATGTCCAAACTTTAGGAACATTTGGTCCTAGATTCCAACTTTGTAACTCAGACATATTTTTAGTAATAGCATGCTTAATTCCTTTGCTTCTATTCAGCTCCTCTTGGTTATTCCAGTTGTTTTACAAGTGATCTAACAAAGGCCCCTACTTCTCTTTTGATACCATCTCAATAAAAGGAATGTGAACATATGAAGCCACATGAAGTACATAATCAGATATCCTAATCCTCTTATGAAGCTACTGAGGTTGCCTTGGCAAGTAAATAATAACCAGTTAATAACCAGTAAAAGTGATGCCTTTGATTGTCTCAAGCTCCTTCATTTACTCCAGTTTCTCATCTCTCCAAATGGTGGTTCAATTACCAACAAAGCTTAAGATTATCTGATCTATATCAGACCATGAAAGCAAAGTATATAACTTGGCACTGTCTGTGGTAGATTCCTCTTCAAATCATCAGATTTTTTTTGTATCTTCTCTCTCCATTGCCCAATGTGAAATTTTACACTGTAAAACTGAATGTTCATGCTCCTTACAGGTATCAGGGCCTCTTCAAAGTTGCCACTACCACTATTCCTCTATCAATGCTGTATGACAAATTATTCCCCCAAATCAGTACCAAAATCTGATGTGTCTCATTCATGGCCACTAGCCTGCTCACTTATGGCAGTCATCCAGCTGCAGCATAGATAAAGATCTCTGTATGAAAGACACAGATGTTAATACTTTATCTGCTTTCCTTTTCCCTTGATCTGAGGCATTCCTCTCTCTTTTAAAGTGAAGGCATACTCAGTAGAGCTTTCTCCCCTAAGTGCACTCATCAACAATGAAAGCCTGAGTTATCTAGAGATAGCAAGGAGATATTTCATAATGCAATACATGGGATTAATATAGACATGCCAAGCGACTCACAGCCTAACATAAATTTGTCTCAATTAGGAGTGTCACATTTGATGTTAGTTGTGATAGCTGATCATGCTAGCTAGCTCAGTCATGTTTTAATTTTATAGTCAAATTAAACTTTAATATGTGCTAAAATCTAAGTTACAGACTTTTAAAAAATTAACCAATTTATCACCTATTAAAACAGTACGTGCTTTGTCTTGACTAGTATCTCAGACTAGACTGAGCTAATTATAGAAACAGATTCATTTAGGTTGGAAAAGACCTTTAAAATAATCAAGTCCAACTGTTACTCTAACACTGCCAAGTCCACCACTAAACCATTTTCCTACACACCACATCTACACGTCTTCTAAATGCCTCCAGGGATGGTGACTCAACCACTTCCCTGGGCAGCCTGTTCCAATGCTTGACAACCCTTTCAGTGAAGAAATTTTTCCTAATACTCAATCTAAACCTCCCCTGGGGCAACTTGAGGCCATTTCTTCTCATCCTATCACTTGTTACTTGGGAGAAGAGACCAAGACCCCCCTGAAAGCAGTAAGGTCTCCCCTCAGCCTCCTTTTCTCCAAGCTAAACAACCCCAGTTCCCTCAGCCGCTCCTCATAAGACTTGTGCTCTAGACCCTTCACCAGCTTTGTTGTCCTTCTCTGGACACGCTCCAGCACCTCAGTGTCTTTCTTGTACTGAGGGACCCAAAACTGAACACGGTATTCGAGGAGCGGCCTCACCAGTGCTGAGTGCAGGGGGACGATCACTCCCCTAGTGCCACTGGCCACACCATGTCTGATACAAGCCAGGATGACATTGGCCTTCTTGGCCACCTGGGTGCACTGCTGGCTCATACTCAGCCTGCTGTTCACCAACACACCAGGTTCTTTTCCACCAGGAAATTTTCCAGCCACTATTCCCCAGGCCTATAGGGTTGTTTGGGGTTGTCGTGACCCAAGTGCAGGAATTAATATCTCATCTCTGAATACTAATCCATATAGACAATACTCAAGCGTATTTGATCTTGCTGCATTAAAAAAAAATTAATAGCAGCTCTTCAAAGATGTATGCTGTACATAGCAGATACCTTCATGTTGCCCTGTAGACAGTGTTCCAAATTCCTGCCAGAAGGATCATCTGTGAACAGAGAAAATCCCATGTGGGATGGTTTCCTCATTCCTGTCTCCTGGTTCAGTCGCTGGATGAATTCATCAACTGTTGAGGAACCATCAAAACCTACAACCTGCAATGAAAGAAGTTAACTGACGATCACTTTCAAGATACATGACATTGATGGGTATCCCAACTAATGAAGCTCAGTTTCCTACACATTAATGTCTCATGATTGACTGCTGCTGCCAGTGACAGCACTTGCACATTGTCTTCCTTCACACTGCATTCTTTCTTGTACTGATACACTTAACAACATCTCTCCCTTTTCTTCTTAAGGCCTATAGGGCTGTGGCTGGATTACTTTTATTTTCTGAGGAAAAATGACTAAAAAGGCAAGGCAGAGAAATAGTGTCTATCACCCAACATCTGATATGTATAAACACCATGATGCCACCCACCTGCATGAAGGAGGCAGGTTATGGTGCCCAGAAGAAAAGCAGCTGTGGTGGCTCACCTGGTAGGTTCCATTCATGAAGTGCACTGGGATGCTGAAGGGGAGTGAGTGGTGGTAGGGATTTCTCAGCAGGATGGACACAATCTCCATCCGGGAGGGCTTGGCTTCCCGCTCACCAGTCTGCACAGTGCGGTCTACTGATCTCTGGCAGTAGATGGCATACTTGCCTATCTCACTCCTAGGCAAAGATAAACCACAAACATGCTTTAAATGCCATGTCCTCTTCTATTTCCCATGACATGACAAAGGATTCCTCCCTCAGGTTTTTGCTCAAGAAAAGATACATCTCTGTGCAAATATCCTAGTTAATCTCAGCAGACTAACAGCTCAAGTGAAAAGCTACGCCACAAACCTCTGCTCTAAGGCTGTGTAAAATTAAGGTAGACAATGGACTCTCTGGAAAGTGCAAAAGCATTCCCTGCTCCTAGATGGACTAGACATAGTATAGGAATATCCTCTCCTGTACCCTGTTTCCATCACAGTATCCATTAAAACCAAGACCAGTTCACCCTTAAACTCCCTGTCACGCCAGTGGAATTTAGTTACTATCATGTCAAGTCCTGAGAGGTATTAATAATAAGTTGTAATGCATTAGTCTCACTTACAGGATTTTATAAGTTGTGTTTATCAATTCACATCATTATACAAACTACAAGTGTCCATGTATTTCTAACCTAGATGATTCTATTAACCCTATGTACTGAACAAGAGACGTGACAGAGATTCAAAGCAGGCTCAGATTTACTGATAGTTCAATACAGCATGGGGATAGTTACTCATATGATTAGTTTACTGTCTACTGAAGAGAGTGCTCCACTGAATAGCACCAAAAGGATACGTGTCCCTAGAGTGAGGCAGGAACAGTCAATCATACCTTTTGCAAAAATATTAAGAATGTATATACTGCATAAATTCCAAAACTGAAGGATTTATATGAATTTATAACTGTGATATCACTTTGCAGGGGAAACTAATTCCATTCAAGATGCCTTCAAGAGCTGAGTACATGATTAAATGTCCAATTAAATCCCTGCAAGCAACATGGAAGTCAGGAGCTCTGGCTTTTCACTGTAGCAATATATTGCTCACCTCCCCAGTAATGCATGTGAACACTTCAGATGGAGAATTTTGCTTCAGTTAGATGATGTTGTGTCTGGCTTCCAAATGCTCCTGAGCCCTGCCTGTCTAATCTAAAACTATATTCCACTTTTCTCCCTCTCTTAGCAATTGGATATATACTCTACTATCACCTTTAGTGAAAAACAATACCTAGAATGAAGATCTAGTGTAAATCTAGACCATAGGCATTATGCAGCATAAACATTCTAGTCTCTTGTTTGCAGTATGAAACAGGAAAAGCATAACTGGTCAAGAACCAGCCATATCATCTAAAGAGACGTAAGTAATCCTAAAGCTAGGCAGAAGGAGCTAAGCTAAATTCCATTAAGCCACTGCTCTAAATTTAATCTAAACTACAAATATAAACACACTCTGCTGTAATTTCTGTTTTTTTTTCTAGCCCTAATAATTATTTCATAGCTGAATTGTATAAATACATTTCCTCTTTGCTTCTGCTTTAAGTTTATTTGTTGATAAATGCATTTTTGGGCTAAGAACCTGGCAGGCCATCAGCACAGTAATGCTTGAAACTGATGCATTAAAGCAGTTTCACAGAGCCCAGCATATCTGTATGGAATTCAGTAGTTCCTAACAATAAAGCAGCTCTGCTACTGAGTTGAATGAGCCAGCCTGGGAACTGGTAAGTTTGAAGTTTGAAGAGATGGTTTCTAGTACTAGCCAGAAGATCCCCAACATGTTGCCTTAGCCATTGGAGAGAGCCTGAACATGAAGGAGTACCCAATATCTGTATTTTTGCTTCTGAGAAGAAATATCAAATGTGAGGCAGCATATAAGAAAATAAAATAAAAAATCTGATAGGAGTACACAGATCTCCTTTGCAATACCAGGAGACTTTTAGCTTGAGTTCCAAGGCAGAGTTAGGCTGAGCATTTGAATACAAATAATTGTTTGAAATGAAACCATGCTTTTACCTAGGTCTTAGCAACAGTGTATTGTTGTAAAAGACAACTAGACATCTCTAGCTGTGACCTTCTTCGGAAGGACACAGTGAGATATGCTGAAGACCATATCACCATGGAAACAAAGAACACAGCATGAACACTGAAGAACTTATTGCTGTTACAGTATATCTTGCACTGTTTTCTTATAGGGGAAAGTGTTATACACCACAGAAGTAACTGAAAACAGTACTAGCAGATACTCCTGGTTTGTTTTTCCTAATTTTTTATGGTTCCCCGAGACGTTCATTGCCTCACTTTTGTTCTGTCAGTATCCCTGCTAACCTGACAGCAGAATGTAATCACCTAAAATTCTAATAATTCATTCTAAATCATTACTTTGGTCTTTCTATCAATAGAAGAAAGTAGCTGAATCAGCAAAACTCTCCCTATGTAGCTCCAGTTATATCTGCAATTTCGCCAGTACAGTTCACTCATTTTTGTCAACTGGCTTATTAATATGTTTAACAAATTAATGTGAATGACTGAAGGGGGACAGCTTGATACCTCTGAGTCTCTTTTGTCCCCTCCCTCAACTTATTTTTGGAGGTATGAGTTACAAAATTGCTTCCATCTTTACCTGTAGTAGATGCAAAAGGTCACCAGCTTAGCAGAAGAAAATGCTGTTGCAGTCTTTACCTGGGGTCTGCATGTCGCTGCAAGTGCTGTTTGATGTACCAGAGGAAGTGATGTTGAGGCAGGAATAGAGGAGCACACAAAGCCAGGAGTTGCCAGCACTGTGAACATAAAACCAGACATCATTCTTGTTCTGTACTTCTTGCCTGTTGTCTTTCACAGAATACTGAAACCAAAATGTTGGATGGTGACTAGTGCTTCTGGCAGTGACCATTTTTAGGCACATAGTTCAAGATGCTTCAAAGGGAAGTGATGGTCAGAGGACAGACCGCTCTTCCGTATCTCAACCTGGACTCTGGAGGTGTTCTAAATGACTGGCCACTTTTGAAAATTTTGACTAGTGTAACCAGAACCGAGTGAACGATTAAGACTTAAACTAATACTTTTTTCCCTATTCATAACTGCAAATCATAACAAAGAATACACCAGTGAATTTTGTTTCAAATTAGACCCATTATTCTTCAACCAGATTTAATTTTCTCATTTGAGCTGGGAATATTACAATCAAGTATGCACATTCATGCTGTTAACTTTTTCAATTGATTCACCCAATAATTATAGTGCAAAAATCAGATTTCATGCTTAATAGTAATATTCATATTTTCATGCAGTTAACTAAAATGGAAAACAATACCTTGTGACAATTATAACTAGCCAACACGAGCTATGAATTTTGATTCTGAATATGGTCTGAATAGACCATTTGCAACTTGTAAATGGTTAAATTCAAACTAGAATTTATTTTGCAAGTAGTTACATTCTCAGTGTTTTCCATGGCACATCAGTGCCGAGATTCTTTCTCCCAGCGCACTTTTAGTATTTGCACAATTTTATGAGAACCAGTCCCATTGCTAATTATTAAAAACATGGAACTAAGTAGAAAGTAGTTGTGGAGTGGAAGTGACAAAAGAGGAACTGACCTGAATGACTGAGTGGTTCTGGGGTTGTCGGCAGCTGGTCTGTTTAACAAGCTGACAGTAAATTTCATTCTGCAGCTCTGTATGTGTCAAGCAAACCTGCAGTGCTGTCTGGGCAAGGGACACGTGGTAATCAATAGAGGGTGCCTCCACAGGGACATTGATGAACAGCTGACAGGACTGTAAAAGTGTGCAAGTTAGTTAGTACCGTGAATACAGTGACTCTTCTCAGGCACTTTCCAGACCAGGTTCCCCAGAAGTGTTACAAACAATTAATGTATTCTTCTAAATAACCTTGATAGAAGGGAGGAGAATAAATACTTAATTCTCATCTCTCCCTCTTTAGCTGTGGCACCTAGAAAATTCACTCAACCTCCACCAGCCCTAGAGGCTCACAAGTCAGCAAGAGAATCAAGGGCAAAATGTGCTTTCTGTCTTCCACGCCTCTGCTTTACCTCGCTAAGACTGTCCAGCCTTACTGCTGGTCTTGCAGAGTGCAAGAACCAAATCTCCAGTGGCTGCACCACTGGTCTTACTGACACAATTGAGTGTGCCAGTAAATTATTTTTGTTTCATTCATTATAACTATTGGAGAGGAAAGAAGAAGATAAGGCTAACTTTAAAGTGTAAAACCTATGGGGGACATTGCTGCTAAACCCAGATTTCCTGCAAGGAAAAGTTAAAACTTATAGAGAATGAATGACACCTAATATCCAACTGTCCTACTGTAACTGAATGACCCAGCAGGCCTGTCTAAAGAAACCAATAGCAACAGTAAATGTGACAAACAACATGACCAGACTATGTTGTTGCCCCGACAACAGAGCAAAGTAACTGAAAATGATGCAGTGTCCCTTTAAATACCTTAAAAAGTTTCAGAGCTTCAGTCTGTAGAGCCTCTGATGGCAGAGTGGTGAGGGATGTGAGCAGCCCATCTTTACTATAGCACAACATAGGATGTTTCCACAGAGGAGAATCTGAGGTAGCAGATGGTCAAAAACATGCAGTGTCAGAAACAGAAGACACGTAACAGTGTCCACACTGAAAATGAGCCTTGCTGAAATGGCAAAGCACCCCGGGAAGCAGCACTGTGCTAGGCCATGTTTATCTTTGGTGCCACTTCATTGAATTCAGCAAAGCCTGCCACAAGCAGCATTAACCATCAGCATTAAGAAATACTGCCATCCTCAATCCTGCTATGTCAGAGCTTCTCAGCAGCCAGATTCTGGTGAGAAACTGCTCAGCTGTGTTTTCAAACAAGAGACACAAACTCTGTCAGGGCAGCTGCCTGCAATGGAGGTCTTTGTTAGTGGAAGTCACTATTCAACAGTAAGCAAGGTTCACATATAGGTCTAAGAACATGTAAGTGTTCAGGAAACAAGTATTAAGTACAAGCATACGTTAATACACATTTGAGAACATGGCATATAAATATGCATGAATGAGCAAGTATCAGAGATGAGGAACAGACAAGCATGGATGTATGTGTGAGGGCTTATATGCGCAGAGGAACAGATGAAGGCAAGGGTGTGTGATGTATTTAGAGGAGAGAGCATGCATCTGTATGGTCAAGATTCCCAGGAAAGGAAAATCATGACCAACAGTAACAAGCAAAATTAGAGCTCCTTTATTTTAATTTGAATTAATGTTACAGACATTTCAGATGCTTCAATAAATGATGTGACAATGTGATGGACTTGTCTAGTTTCACTGCAATACCTGTATTCTCTCTGGAGATGTTACTGTGGAACTAGGGGAGAAGAACACTGTATCATATGCTGTTCTACTGAGAATCCCTTCCCTCACCTTTGGTTCCATTAAAAAGGAATTGAAGCTACCCTTCTTTATGCTTTGCTACCATGGAAAAAGAGTTATGGTTTCTACTTACTAGGGTCTCCCTCAGCATCCAATAGTTTTCCAATGAGTTGTTCATATGATGTGCCCACTGTGGCATTACTGCTACCAGCTGCTACAGTCAGATGGTACAGCCAGGTATTCTAGGCACAAGGATGAGAACACTATGGGTCAATTCTGACCATGTTTTCTACAAACAGGTTCAGTCTGTATGCCCCATTTGTTCACTGATACCAAAAAGATTCTTGCTCTCCAAGAAGCCTGCCTTTTATACCTTCTCCTGTTTGGTGCGAATGAGTAAGTACGTGGGACTCTGGTCCTGTGGGTGAATCACCAATGTACAGTGGGATGAGAGAAGTCCTCCACCAGTGGCTTCATAATCTTCATCAGAGTCACAGGAACGGTCTACTTCTTCCACTTTGGATTCTCGCAAAGGCAGATGCCCTAGGGGACACTGTAATGAGGAGAAGCAAGTTAGGCAAGTGTAGCTAATCTCCCACTATGAACAGGGAAAACTGGGAAAGGAAACCCAGGTCAAAATGTTAACAATTCTGTAAAATGTAAGGAATAAACTATAATTCAGTTTATAACTAATGTAATTATACAATCTTGTATTTCTATAGAATCATCAACTCAAGTACCTACAAACTGTTACTACTTTTATTATTTTTCTTGGGAAGGCACTTACATGTCAGAATGAAAACATGCAAATAAAAAGATAGTCTTCCCCATAAGGTACTGTTTTCTTCCCGTTACACTTGTCAGTTGTGTTTACATCATTGGTTCTGCAAGGCAGGATGTGTTTTCTGATGGTCAGTTGCTCAGGATATTGAGCCACTGTTTTCTGATCCTGGTCAGGCTTTCTGCTTACTACTGGAAAGTAAGGACTTTTAAAATTACTTAAATAGGTAGGTTAGACAAATAGTGGCTGTGCTAACGCTGGAGGTCAATCCCAAGTACAAGACACAGTATTCCCTGATATTCTAAAACTTGGGTTGCAACATCACCAAGTCAAAGTAATGTCGGGCCAAGATTCCAGAGATGGAAGCACATTATACTGCTTAAATGACCTCATGCTTCCCATATTGTTGTTGCTACTTATTTTCATGACAGTAGGCAGAATATATCAGATGCTGTATAAGTGTCTGCCCTAAAGGCTTCACAAAACCAAATGGAGAAAGCGAGAAACAAGATATACAGTAATCTGAGAAAGAGCAGTCACTTGCTTTATGTTTTTTATTGTTTTAGCTTAAAAAAAAAGTGAAAATATTGATTCTCTTTGTGGAGCAGATGCTGTTAGAAGAGTTGAAGTACAACCAAGCAAAAGTCTGAAGCATGAGACAGAAGCAGTAAAAGGAAAGAAAGCTTAATAAGAAATGGGAAAAGAGGGTTCAGGAACAAACCAGAAAAAGGCATTACCTTATCTTCATGATTTCGATAGTAGTAGAAAGTTTTTCCAATTAGTGCACACCAGACCAGCTTAGAATGACCGTGCTTGACCTGTAAGGAGTACAAAGACAATGTTGCTGGAACAATTTTCTAGGATTTCAACTTTCCATTCAACTGTCCCTTAAAGACTTTTGCTTTATGCTCTATGCTGATATGAGCTCCTCTCAAAACATACAGGGCACCACTTCCAAAAGCAGGTAAGTACATCCCACCTAAGGAGATGGGACATAGGTGCTTATGGAAATGGATCTAAGATTTTGTGAAGTATTTCGTACTTTCATGACAACCCATTTCTGTATCCTGAAATACAATATTAAGAATAGCCTTTTAAAGATTATAAGAACAAATAATTTCATCTCATCAGGAAAAGACTAGTCAACATATAGTCTAGGGAGCTGTTTCCTACTGCATATGAACAAGCTTCAGATGCAGGTTGTCTTTAGCTATCTTTAGATGCTGACCAGAATTATATTAAAAAATTAATAGTAACTTGCCATGCAAAGTGGAAATGGCATAGTATGGAAATGGCATAAAGCCTAAGAATTTTCAGCCACTGTACTTTGTATTAATGCGCATGCAATCTATCATGATGGAAATAAATGCTAACCTAGAACCATGCAAGCCATTTCTTTGAAACTTCCCTGTATCACCAAGTTAAGATCAATTAAATGTGACATTTAACAGCATTTGCTGCTGTGTTTTGTTTTTTTCTTACAATGACATGCTGTGAACTCTGTTGAAAAGTGTACATTGGATATTTGTTATTACTTACTATTAGAACAAGTAGCCTTGTTTGTCCTATTCCTCACCATTCATACAAATGTTCCTCTATGAAATACAGAAATCTACTGCCACTTTTCCTTCTTTCCCCTCTCTTCTAGGAAGTATTAAAATACTAAATTTTGCTGTCATTTACCATGCAAACCAAGAAGCTGGTATACTGTCAATACTGAGCTAAACTGAATAAAGTTAAGAAATACTATTTTACCTTGGTGAGCCAACCCTTCACAGTAGGTTTAGCATCACTGTGAGGAACACCAACAGGACTGGTCACTTGCACTCTCAGGATACTCTGTAGGACATGAATCCATTCCTCCAGGATGTTGGGAGAGTCTGCTGTCAGGAAGTATTTTCTCTTTTCTGTCATGAGCTGGAAGGAAGTGGAGCGAGGAAGTATAAATCTGCACACCCACAAATCTTTTCTTCAGGTGCTGAGTTTCGTTATCCCATACAGACTTTTTTGGTGGTTCAGGAAGGATTTTTTTTCAGGATAAGAAAAAAGGTGCTAACCCTCAAAGCCCAAGTGAAAAACTGAAACTCAGATGAATCAAATTCTCATGAGCTCTCTAGCTGTTTCTGTTGGATATTACGGCTTTGTCTCCTCTCTCATCCTTTCTTGTTTCTCAGTGCTTCTGCTGATTTTTCATTTTAAAGCTGACTATCTAAATGGGTTCTTTTGCTGCCTTCACTTGGTACTGCATTCTGCTTTCAACTGTGACTTTGAGAGGAAAGATGGTATGAATTTAATAGTATTAAGCCTTAGCAACTGCAGTTCCATAAGGGCTGAAGGTAGCTCACAGGTCAGGCTGTGTGCCTTTCAGTCAGAGTATGACAGAAACTTTAATGCCTACTTTATAACGAAGTCCTCTAACAATAATGACTTAAAACTGAACCCAGTGATGGGCTAATACTTCAGAAGTCGAATTCTAATAAGAATCCAACGCTTCAAATGATTCTTCAGATCCTCCAGACATGTAAAGTCAGGCTAGAGATCTTGTGGGAGAATTCTTTCAGAAAGAGAAGATCCTAGGTACTATCTGATTTTGTCATAAGACTCACTTTTCCCCACAGATTTCAAGCTCTCAGTCCTAACTGCAAAAAGGAAAGCTTATGGTATAAAACAAAAATAAAGGAGAATTTCTTTCAGTTTCAACAAGCAGGGTTACAATTTAGCTCTTTCCCCATTATTTATTAAACTAACTGCCTGGCTTGTGCCAGGAAACACAGGGGACAGATAAAGTTAGCTCATATCAGTTGAGACATACAGTACCATTCTGCCCGAAATAAGCACTCTCTCACCCAGCCAGAGTGTGTGGTTATCTGCAGGATGAAAAAACAACACTTGCCTGGAATGTTTGGGACCCTTCACCTCTGACAATTTGGCATGAGGAATTCAGCTCCATCTGCCCTTGTGGTTTGCGGATAACGTCACTCTGAGGAAAGAAAAGCAAAGAACTTTTTCAGTAGGAAGAAAACCTCAGATGGGTCTTAGAGTACTTAAGTACAGCATAATATGCACGTGCAGGTTCAAGTCTGCATTCATGAGCTGGAAAAGACAGCTGAGGGTTGCCAGGTTGAATATGAGACAGCATGATCCCATTGCAATGACGAAACAAAAGTCTCAGTAGTGACAGACAATATAACAAGGGTAATGGCAACAAATACTGTCCTATGAAGTTCCGGTTGGACATTAAAGGGAAAAAAAAACACAACCAAAAATCACCACCAACAAAAACACCCAAACCCTTTCTCACTGGGAAGACAATACATCACCAAACAGGTACCCAGGGAGTGGCTGAATTTCCACCTCTGGGGGTTTTCAAGATTTACCTAGACAAAGCCATGGGTGCTTTGATCTACAGCTGGTGACAGTCCCTCTTCAATGTGTCAGCTGGACTAGGGTCTTCCAGAAGCCCCTTCCAACCAACAGTCTACATTCTGCATATTTATTAAGTTATATAAATATGTATTTATGTATATATGTATAATGCTTGTGAATTCTGATGGATAAACCTGGTATCAGAAATAAAGATGCATTGTGCCCTAAAGTGTATTTTTGTCCTGTCAGAATATAATACCTGAAAAAATAAAAAAGTTGAAAATAAATCTTCTCAATATTCCTGACATGTAAGCAAAGATGCATATATACACAGAAATACTGTGTAACTATGCAGGTGTGGAGGAAATTGCTGTGTCCAGAGGAAAAGGTATGGAAGGTGGATAATCCTAAATATAATTCTATGTAATGTAGCTAAGTACAGCAGATTAACGAAGGCCCACAATAAATGCATTTTATTGTATATACAAATTTTGAGTGGATACTGCTAGGATTTTTGAAATAATGTATCTTTATTTGAAACTGTTACGAGTTATAAAAAAATATTTGGAAGGATCTGAATGCACAAACATGCTCCCTCAATTATTGAGCATTGTGAGACAGCATTTTGCATGAAAGCTTATTTTCAGTTTCATCCTAATTTTCTAATAGTTCCATGTCCATGTGGGAGGGTAAAAATCAAAGAATCCAGCTGCCTTTCCCCTGAAAGTCGCAGTTTTCCTCAGAGCCCTGTATACTGACTGATGAGTATGTATCTGCACCCTCCTCACATAGTAATTTATTTTTCCTTTATTTTCACCTTAAACATGACCAAAGCTGGGTCATGGTATGCCTTCTGCTTTTCATCATCTGTACAAAGTTAACCAGTAGGTGTCAAACTTCCATAACTGAACAACAGTGTGTTTTCATCACCTGGAAACTGCCACTGCAAGGAGCTTCCCTGTCTAAACAGATACCCACAGTTGAACCTGTGGGTCAGCCATAAAGCACTCTGACAGGACATTTTGGGAGAAGCTTGCCCATTGCTGCCCACTCTGTCAGTGTTATCAACCCAGAACTGGTCCGGCAGCCAGCCTTCCCCTGTGCCTCCTCCACAGAGCAGTAAGTGTATCCCAGTGACTCACCGGGGACTTGTAGTACATGATTTGTCTGTTTCTTAGAACAAACCATCGTCTCTTCCACATCTTCACCTGGCTGCCCATTTTCAGCAAGTAACCTGATTTCTCCATGGGTTCCTGGAGGGCAAAGAGCAAATGGGAGAGGAGATTATCTTGTACCTCTCAAAATACAAATGAAAGAGTGCTGAAATCAAGCTCAGACACTTGCCACATCTCCATCATTTTCTGCTTTACTCTGCCTGATGCAAGTAGCAGCCAAAGATCAGTGCTCTCTGCCCAACTCAGAGTGCTAGATTACCTGTGTAGCTGCAAATACCACACTGTGTTCTTTCAGTAAAGAAGGCACCTGAAGATCATTTTGCTGAGTGATGCACTGAAAACCTGTCTTCCTACCATAACAGTGATTTTCCAAATAAAAGTGCAGGCTGGCTTTAAGCCATGATGAGACTCCTGTTCCTTGTCTGCTTGTCTCTTACACTCATGAATAGGGTTTAATGCTGCCCATGTTTGAGGTTTTTTTTCTAGGCCAAAACATTCTATTCTTTTCCCTTCCTTCCTCTGAACTTCCAAGCTTGTTTTGACAAAAAGTGTGAGGCCATCATTAAAGTAGAATATGACTACAGGAAACCAGTACAGGTCATCAGGAAAGAATACAGCCCTGGATTCTTATACTTTTATCTATTCATGTAACAAATTGCATGTTTTTCTGAAGCATCATATAGTGTCTTTTGATACAAAGAAGCTGGACCAACAGCCCAGTCTGTTAGAGCATCACTTTGCAGGGAATAATTCAATATATTGCAGTTATGCTTTTTCTCTTTCAAGGCCAAGTCTCTGCATACCACTGTGAGGTAGCAAGACTTACAGTGCAGATTCCACCATCGGTGGAATAGGAAGATGTTCGCTGTAGCTTGTGTTCTGGCTCTGAATAGTCACCATCCAAGGAGTAGGCATCAGGAGGGATAGCATAATCACTCTCGGAGCTCAGTGAGGACATAGATACACCTGTTCAAAATAAAGAATGAGAATCATGGCTAGACAGAAGCATGCACTGAATACTGCACACTGAAAAAGTGAGTTCACCATTACAGCTTTTTTGTTCAAGAAAAACAAATCAGATCAGACTCTGGAAACTCAATCCCCACTAACCAAACTTCTGAGACCTTTTTTTTTCCCCTGGAAAGACAAGTAGTGAGACTGAGTTTTGGATACTGACAGTGAAATAAATTTGAATAGAGATTAAAAAAAAATAAAACAAAAAAAAAATCAAGAGACTTGTTACCTAAAGCAAAGACATGTTATTTTCAGCTTGGAAATGTGCATCATAAAGCCTCAAGCCCCTTCATTCAAACTAAAGGAAAGGCTCCCTCACCCACAATGGGGCTTTGCTTTCTGTGAATCTTCCACCATTAGTCCATAGCAATGCAGAGACACATCAGCCAATGCATCAAAACAAAAATATTTAAGACTATGTGAAATAGGATTCTATTTTATCGACCAATTGTAATGAAAATTCCACACAAGGATCTGGTTTAACCTTCTCAGCAGTCAAGAAAAATTGTCCTAGCCAGGACCCAAATTACCTGATGCCTCTCAAAAATAGGACTGTTTACTGATCAAGAAATTATCAGACAGAGACAAAACACATTTTCTTTAATGTGTCAATACTAGCATGTGGACAGGGAAAAGTCACAGAAAAGGTATGGATGTTTTCACTGGATATGTAATGAATTTGGGAGGTCAATCCTTCCCACAGTCTCATCTTAACTCATCTGGATAGAAATCTCATCTGGATAGAAATCTACCATCAGTAAAAACCCATCCAAGCGGACAGGTTTCTACTGAGTACTGTTGGCATCTGCACACATTCTGAGCATCACCAAGGCTGAGCATCTGCTTGTCACAGATCATGCTGTTCAGGACATCTTGCCTCACCTGTGAAGACAGAGTTCATGCTGCCCAGTAGCAATACTCCCACTTTACCTCTCTTCACTGCACGAGGGCTGCCTGGCATGCTTGCTTTCCTGTTCTCAGACCCAGCAGTAGAAGTCCTGAAGCTGGCATGGGAGCCACAGTCATCATCAGAGCCTGAAGACTCATCTAAGAAAGGCACGTTGCTGATCTGCATGGCTTTCTGGAAAACAGACCTGTATAGTCAGCGTGTGAGGGAAGTTTCCCCATGACAATCCCTGCTCAGCACGCAGACAGAGCAATCAATGCAGGCCCTTCATTTTCACACTGCCTTGCCCACTACTGTCCCAGGGCTCCTCATTTCCCCCCTTTCTATCTAAGAACTTCCCAGCTGGACTCTCTAGTCTGAGCTGTTGGGGGTCTCCTCTGGTTACAACCTCCTACTGTGCTTTCCCATCAGCTCTCAAGATCCTTCTTCCATTTCATTCTCTAGGCAACACCCACTATCATTCCTAGGTTTCTACAGCCTCACAGTGCACACTGAAGCTTCCTGGACAAAAACATGTTGCAACATTCTGTATTCCTAAATACATTTATCATCTGCTACTCCTTCTGCATTCTTTTAGCGTCCAGTACTTCCTGGCATTCTCTTAACTTTCTTTCCTTCACTGCACAGTTTCATCCCATTTTCTTTCAAATTACTAGCAGTCTTAGACCATGCTTTTTGTAACAGGAACAGTGAGGTAACTCCTTACCCCCTTCAGCGTAGTGTAGACTGGCACTGTGACATTTCTGTAGATGAGACAGGTAAATGGCCCAGAAGTTGAATACGAGAAATTGGAAACTGGGAAAATTCAGAGAGAGAGAACAAATGATACAAACTGTTGAAAAAGAGGAAGATTTAACAGAGAGGTACACATATGCATGCAAGAACTTATGTAGCCTCTTGGAACATCAAATAATGGAGGACTGCCATGCTGGACAGTTTGGCCTCAGAAAGGCCAAGGGATGTGTTATTAATTACACACAACCCCCACAGACAGCTGCAATGCTCTCTCCATTTAACCTGTAAGACATCTCACACACCCTGTACTCCTCATAGTACAATGGCAATCTGGTGCCCCATTTTCAAACAGGTAAAAGCCCTAACAGGGGAAGGTGATGGTGAATCACAAGACTAAAAGCAGGCTGCAGACACACAGGAGCAGAACAGTGTCAGTGAAAGTGATGATGGAGATTAATGGAGTCCTTAAAGATGTTACTGAATGCAGGGGCTCAAACAGCTCAACCATTCCTGAGACCAATGTATCCTCCTCTCTTCCCTTCTTTATCATGGCTCTCTTGCAAAACCAAATTTACTTTGAAAACAGGCAAGAAAACAAAGAAACATGAACAGCCAGAAGCTCAGGTCTCACACTGTCACTGTAAACTCCCTCTAGGGATGAATCTTGTCTAGAACTTACAGCAGTTGGAAGTATCATTCACCGTGGCCACTTCAGACAACCTCATGCCAGACTTGGCCACAGCATAGATTCGACTCTCCTGGAACAATAACACCATGAACAGCAATGGTCAGACAAAAACATGATTCCTGCAAAAAGAAATGCTCATGTCACAGAATCACATCACAATCACATCTTTGGTGGAAGGAAGGAAGGGCCCTCTAAGAAAAATTGCTCTGTTCCACCAGATGTGAATGACCATTAGTGGAAATGTCCATCTGTCTGATTTCCCGAATCACAACAGACTTGACTTATAAATGCTACACAGATGATATCCACAGACTAGAACACCTATGTGCAATTATCAATAAAATACTACATCACAGCTTGGAAAAAGCTGTTCTGTCCACTTTATAAACAATGCATTAAAATGAATCAAGAATAGCCCTAAACCAGGACAATTTATTGAGTCACCACCTGCAAAGGAGTCCCACTCTCTGATAAGGGAATGAAAAAAATGCCTGGAATGATCTCAGTAAGCCTATGTCTCAGTTATAACAACACATGGAGCTTTCAGTTCAAAGGATATTCAAGTGCTTCACAAATTGATAAAAATTCCAAGGGGGGAAAGCCAAGCCTGTAACTAAATGCAATGTTATGACTAAGACATCAACCAGTCTAAAATACATCAAAATGAAAGCTAGGAGTCCTCTTGCTGCTCCTTAAAGCATACAACCAATCACTAGCAGGTAACTCGCATACTACAGAAACATGAAAGTACCCAAGGCTGCAAAGTACACCAAAAAAAGAAATGACAGAATTAGTATTTTTTGTATGTATAAGCATTGTGATTTAGTCTCTAATGAAATATGTGCGCTTTTTTTCCCCCCATACACTTCCTATTCAGGGCACATAAGAGAGATTTCTTACTGATTAAGCAGCTATTTAATATTCTGTTCATGCTTTAATGTTTGATATTAAATTTGCCCTACTTGGATACACTTACTTGACTCTGGTCTGAAGACAAAATAATGAATTTTACATGTGGGGTTCCTGACTATAATACTGCAATGCTTCATAAATATTTATTTAAAAATTTACAAAAACCCTAGGAGAGTCAATGATGACTGCTATCGCTATTTTCCAGAAGAGGAACTCAGATACAGGTTCTCTGAAACATCCAATATCTTTGGAGTACCTATTTCAAGATGTCCCGAGACCTGACTTTTTGAGAATTTATCATCATATAACATTGTTTGTAATATAAACAACTGAACACAGTCACAGCAGAGAAGTACTCAGTGCTTCTCTAATTAAATTTACTTGCCAAACTCAAGTTACACATTCAGAAGGTGTGTGTGGAGCTGACGATGGATCACCTGTGACAAATTCAGCCTAGCGAACTAGAAGAACCTTACATAGGAACTCTAGGTCAGAAAAAGGAATAGTAGCCAATCTCTGAGACCTATTTTCCTTCTTCCAAGTGAGTACACCGTTCGTGACGCCTTTCTGACTTCTGCAGCAAATAAACTAGACATCTTGAAAACTGCAGTTTCTTTTACTACACTATTCAGCTTCATCCCCAGCATGGATCCATACTGTGGACTGAAAAGAGATTCCTTTGGAAAAACATCTGTGATTATATTGGGGTTTAAATTGGTATCATAAAGGACACAGCCAAAGATCACATATATTCTTAAATTCTCACAGAAAAACACTCCAAAACTTGAGAATTAACAATAAGTGCTTGACTTTGCACCTTCCATAAACCACTTGTTTGCCTATGCCTTTAAAAAGGTAAACTGAAAATAAGGGAATGATCTCTTTTGATACTACATTGATTTCCATCAAGTTTGTCAGACTGACACATTAGCAAACAATCCACCCATTTGAACTAACAAGTAACTGAAAGTGATAACAACGAACTTCTCTCACATGAAGCAAGCAATAGGACACGTATGTTTACTTTACCAGTGGTTTTCACAAAACCTTTCTGTTAAAAGTATACCATGAGATAGGAATGACAAGATCTAATCCATGTATCTATTCTGAGTTTCAGAGTCAGAAAAAGCTGTGAATACATCTGGTCTGGTCTGTTCACTTGCATTTATACCTCACTTTTCTATTTTAAACACAAGACAACAGAACTAAGGATTAACTTTTGATGACCCATAAGATAAACCACAATGCAGCACCTCTTGACTTTCATTTTTGATTCCTATGTTTCTTGATTACTATTTTCTTCAATGGATTTTTTTTTTCCTTACAAAGAGAAAAGAAAAAAAAAATGTCAGTGGAACCAGCATGCCTCACAATCTGGAGCTGTCAGGCTAGGTGATTCAGAAACTCGACTGATGTCCACAGGAACAATTGCTTGAATGCTAGAGTTGTTGTAGCCTAACTACTGGGCAATACTCAAAGATAAGTAGCACTTCTCAGACTGTTGTCTTTGCATTTCTTACCCAGGATGGGAATCTGTGCAGCGGTGGTGTGGGAGGTTTACCCCCTGGGTCAAGTACGCCAGCCTCAGAACTCACAGCTTCTCCTTGCCCCGTAGATAAGTGGTTAATTTCCTCACATGCTCCAGCTTCTTCCCTCACAGGGCCACGTTCTGTCTCCATCTTCTCCCCATCATCATCATCATCAATGTCTGTCTCCTTCACTTGCCCATGGCAGACTGGAGAGGCTGTTATGGGCTGGAAGGTATTAGCCTCTAAGCTCATTACCCGATGGAAAGAATTAGACCCTGGCTGTGGTTGGCTGTAATGTCTCTTGGCTAGCTGGATACTGTCTCTTGGTGTATTGAGAGTTCGTATTTTTGGAAAGGTCTTACTACTGCCAAGGCTGCATTCCCTCCCTGGGCAGAAGGAATGTGCTGTAACAGCTGATGTTGGCACAATCAGGGGTGGCTCAGCAGTTTGGAGATGGCCCTCAAGCATGCTCATTATTTCTCCTGAGGAAGAGGAGTCCAGCCGGTGTGAGCGGAACCTGGCACTCAGATCATCAGAGAAGCGGATGCCATCCAAAGCCACTTGTTGCAAGGTGCTCACAGTGCTATGTTTTCCTTCCAAAGTTGACTGGAAAGTCAAAGTCTCAGGGATTCTTGTGGTATTGGCTGGAGGGTCCAACAATGTGGAATGAGAGCACCCTAAGCTGTGTTCAGAATTTACAGCTGGGAATATATCTTTTTCTGTGGAGAGATTCCAGCTTGATGGGTCAGACATGAGCTTCAGTGTGCTCTGAGAAAGCAGAGATTTATCCTCTCCACCCTCAGTAAAGGTGTCATTGGCAAAGACTGTGTTTGCTGTAGAGAGGACAGGTTTGGTGGGTCCTGTCTGACACAGCTGTCTGAAACCAGGTGCAAGGAGCACAGATTTCTGGTCTATCTTCTCAGCAAGAGAGGCCTGTGATGCTCTGGGCTTCAGAGAATTACAGCTCCAAAAAGATTCAAGGGGAGGAATGCTGGTCATATCTACAACAGAGGAGAACATATGGTTAGGGCATTCAAATGCTCTACTGTCTAAAATGTTACCTGCTAGTGTAAGGTGTTCTTCAGTAGCACCCTGGCCTGGTTAGAACTATACAGAATGGAAAGGAGATGGCTGGGCACAGTTATAACAGAAGTGCTATATATTTATGGTTGGGAATAGTACAGAAAAGATTAATAGGAAATGATTAATTGCTGTTTCTTACAAAAGCGAAGGGGTGCCTAGTGAAATTATCAGGCAGCATGTTTGAAATTTGCAGAAGGAAGGGGTTTTTTTCAGACAAAAAAAGAAATAAAATGCTGCGATATACAAAAGAGAGGCCAAAAAAAACCCGTAATTTATCAGTGATACAAATAGTTTAGAAGTTCTGGCCTAGGAACTTCCTAAAACACTAACAGCAGAAGCTGGAAGGCTACATGGAGAGAAAGACAGCTCCACCTGCAATATTTTCTACTTTTTCCTGAAATATCCACAGTCAATCAGAAGACAGGATACTGGCCTCGGCAAGCTTTCAGTCTAAATCCATATGGCAGTTTTACCTATCCATGATTATATCTCTTCTCTTAAAAGCGCCATGAGAAGAATGTCCACCTATCCACACAATACTGGCCATTTAAGTGGCCAGAACACTGCTTAGCGTGGCTTTTGACTTCCATGGACCTACAGTGATTTAAGTCATCAAATAAGCTGGTATGGTTCCTCCATTCCCAGGGGCTAGATGAGGCTTTTATTTAGTACCTACGCTTTACAATTCTTCTACTTTCTTCCTTTCCATAATTACTAGACTTAAAGACTATCTCAGTTCTACAGGTTCTGCTGAGTATCAGCTTTAGGGTAGGAGAAAATGTGGATAAAACTGTGGCCAAGGATGTTACTTCACTTTATGATTTTGATTGACCTTGGCATTTATATATTGCCTGACTGAAGAGAACCAAATCATAAGATGCTTTGGAAATTGTATAAATATGGGTGAGTGTGACTCTGCGCAGCTATTGCTGAAAATGCTGCCCGAACATCAAACTCTACAGCCATTGCTAACCACTAATGGGATTTAGAAGAAAGTAGAAAAAAACTGAAGACACAAAGTAACAGAGGGAAGGGCAAACAGCAGAATAAATCACTGTTGATTGTGGAGTTGATGAAATCTACTCTTGGAAACACAGCTGAGAAAGACAACCATAAGAGCCTGACCTTGACACCTGAGTCACAAGGAACTGAATGTTAGCAAATCTATCCCTAACACACAATGCTAGCACACACAAATCCTGGCACACATTTTCCCCTGCCCAAGGTTCATCGTTGGTGTAGACTAAAGAGAGGTCATTCATTTTAAATATTACTGGTATTTTTGCAGCTTCCTAAATGTGACAGAAGATGAAGCAGAGGAAGCTGTTACTATTAACACGGCAAGGAAGAAGAGATTTGTCTCTGCAGAGGCCTCTGAATTCAGCCTGGCACATTGCGACTAGTGTGGAATAAGAGGAGAGGGCAGAGCTGTTTACTGCCATGAGAGTTGGGATTCAGGGAACACTTAATGCCAGATTATTAACGCAGCTTACCAGCTATTCTCTTTTTGTAAACAGCCAGAGCCAGAGGGGATGAGAGAAACCCAGTCATAAAGCATTTAGCTAGAAACGTGGTGGGATTTAGAAGGAATTTTGCCCCATTCCCTTGCTGTGGAGTGATAGGAATGCCAGAAAAGCTTCTGCAGGAAAAAAATGCCCCCTGCCTGCATGCCCAGTGCAGTTCTGAAAACTAGCTCATCTTACTGTAACCAAACCAAACTCATTAAAAAAAACAAAAAACCAAAAAAACAGGAAGAAAATGATTAAGAGAAAATTTCCTCTTCAGTATATGTTGCAATAAAAGGTGCTGATTTCAAGCCCTGGAGACCAAAGTTCTCCATCTATCCTACAAACAAGAACCACAAGCACCATAAGCAGCTTTCTCCAACCCAACCTGATAGCACAGGGAACACAGATTCTAAAGGCACACCAGACAGCTGCTGCCTTGGCCTATTCAGTTCTCAGTTACTCAGCTCACATGCCAGCAGAGGTTCTGTGGGGATGAGGATAAGTCACATATGGAGGTAAAGTTAAATACCTCAGGGACTTCAACCCTGCACCACTGAAGTGAATGGAGAGTTTTGCTGTTATTTCAATTAGTGTTTCTAATTCAGGAGCCATTATTTTAAGGGTAAAAGCAGACTCTGAAGAAAAGCCATCTGTGTTCAACTGCTGGTGGGAAACCAATTAGGAGTTTTTAAGGCAGGTAAGCAATGTTATTCCCATCTTTAAAATGGACCCACTGAGAAACAAAGCAATTCTACTGCTTGCTCACTGTCACAAGTGCTAATTTCTGACAAAGTTAAGAATACAAACCAGGAATGCTGACTTCCACTAATGGTGGTTACTAGGCTACAATGCCAGGTGAACACATTTACCTTGCAATGTATCCTGAAGGGCTTCAATTTGCTCCGTCAGCCTCTGATTACAGTTTTTCAGGTGGTAATTTTCTAGCTCAAGCTATGAAACAACAATAATAAAAACTGAAAAATAATGCAAAACTGTGTGTGCGTGTGTTCCACTATACAGAATATGTCTTCATCTTTATTACATTCTTAACAGGAAAAGGGATAAAGAATGGTTGAGTCTACCAGTCACCCTGAAGTCTACTCAGCAGCAACACTGGACAACCCACATAAAGACTTTGCTGTGCTTTCTCAAATAGCCTCTGTATATTATTTGCACTTCTCAAATAGGTCTTTTAATTTCTTTCCTTGCTATTGTTTATCATTTACTCCTGTTCCAGAAATAACTGTCAAGAAAGAAACAATCAAAAACCTATTACCCAGGAAGAGTGTTTTCCCTTCTTACCCTGTATGTGGTAAAAGGAGATCCCCTGGATCCAGGGAACCAAAGGAAACCATTATGGGTGCATTTACATTTGCAATCAGCACAAGTGATTCTTTGCAAATTTGCCATATGTCTTTGCTTGAAGCATCTCAGCATACATTCTTAACCGCAGCAGTGGTGCACCCAAAGAGGCTTCCCTCTTGATGGAATTAAAAGTTGAAATTGCACCCATGGTGCTGTCTGGAGCAACCCATTTGCAACAGAGATGCAAAGTCCTTCACTTGGCAGTGGTTCACTTGTGCACCTAGAATCAGCATCTAGCACGAACTTCATGGCCAGTAAAGAAACAGTGTGAATTTATGGTCCTGGATTCACAGCGGGTCACCAAGTCAACCCCCGTGCTTCCTCCTTTGTGCTGCACCAGTTGGTAATGTAAATGCACCTTATCTCATATAGGAAAACGAAAGAAGCAGCACAGCAGCTCAGTGAATTACCTAGGCAATCTAGTAACATTACAAAGTCACATCATAACACAGTTAGTGCCCACAGAGACTGCTTCTTTCAACTCCAACAAATTCCCTTTCTGAGATAAATTGGGAAATCTATGGCTTTAACTTGGAATAAAAGGGAAAGACCAGATAGCCCCACGCCCAGTTGTAAACTATTACTGCAACTTTAAAACTGTGTGCTGACCCACAGCTATAGTTTTTCTAGAGGGTATTGAATTAGGCCCAGATAGAAGCACAAGTCCACAGAATGGATAGGAGGGAGAGATTAGACATGTGAAAATGCTGGAGAGTAGGAAAACAGTATTAGTCAGAGATGGCAAATTAAGGAAGAGCAAAGGACACATGTTTGTGTCACAGCTGCTTTGTCAGAGACAGAAACTGCACTCAGAGGAAAAAAAGGAAGAGGCAGAGGAAAGCTATGTGAAAACCACTTTTGACTAGTAAATCTTCTTCAGAGACTGCTTTCAGGCTTTACTGACTTCACAGCCCTTCACAGTTTGCTCAAAGCAGTAAATAGCCCCCAGTAAGAGGGATGACCCTAGCTCTGCAACTGAGTGTGTGTAGGGTAAAACAAGCAGAAAACCTGTGTGGCAGACTGATTGTCCTCAGACTACTGTCCTACATAGGAGCCCACTGGCAGTGCAGCCATTGTACCTACTCATAGGCCTTGAAACCTGGCAGCAAGTCAAAGACTCACCTCTCTCAGCTTAAATGTTACCCACTCTTTGATCTTGGCAGCTTTCTCTTGAACAATTTTGGCTTCCTCAGTCCTCAACTGTTTCTGTGACAAAAAAGATTAGATGCATTAGGAGTGTACAACTAACTGTTCTCAGTAAGTTACTGCATCAGGAGTGACTTAAACACTGAAGCTCCCATTCCAGATGTAAGATTTTAGACTATTTGGGTATTATTATGTAGCTAGCCTCTGAAAAAAACAAGCCCTAAGTTGTCTTACATGGTTCCTGGAGTCAAATTCAGAGCGTTGTTTGATGGGTTTGTTGTGGAATAGCAAAATCCAGCTCAGGTAACGATTTGCCCACCTATTACAGTTTCTTTTGAGTACAGTCTCCAACTTTTTCTATTATATTTTAGATGGGTTTGCAATGTTGCTGTTTGCTGTTGAGCATCTGTAGTGTTCCTCCAGCCTACACACATACACATCATTGGCTGAAGTTGGTAAGAATTAAGCAATGCCTATAACTGATTTATAAAACACTGTAATAATTCCAAGCGAAAGGGATTCAACTTCTGCAAGCACAGGTGTAAAGTATAGACTTTAAAAGGTGTATGAGATGGAAAGTAATACAACAATGTATTTAACACACAATATTCTCATTGAGAAAGTAAATTTAAAAAAACCCAAACAAACAAACAACAGACTCAGGATAAAAAAAAAAAGCTTAAAACTTGACCTTGAAACACTAAGAACTGCTAAAAGGTTTTGAGGTGATGTTAAGTGGTTATATGTTTATATATTTATTAAAACAGGTTCTAGTCTACACAAAGTTGTTATAGAAATACTGTTGATTTGCAAAGTGAAACTTTTTCCCCAAGTATCTGCTTGGGCAATATTGCTACAACATCATACTTGTAGCTGTGTCTTCCCAGCCGCATTTTTTTTTCCTTTTCTGGGAATTTTCTTTGGAAAATTTTCTTTGGATTGATACTACAATCACTTGAAGCCTTCTGTTCATCTCCTGCATGGCTTCATCATAAGCAATGTCACTAAAAGGTCTCCTTTCTAGGTAATGATTTAAACAACTACAAGGAGAAATCAGTTCCACAAGCAAGGAAGAGGGAATACACTCATCCCTGGTTTCTCTAAATAAATGGACAAAGTTAATATCATCTGATAGCAATTGGTAGTTTCCCTGCCAGATTTTTTTTTTTTTCTGATATGAACAAGTACTCGTATAATAACACAGTCAAGGCAATCCCAAGCACAAGCTGGGCAAAAAGCAGCTTGAGAGTAGCCCTGTGGAAAAGGACTTGGGTGTATCAATGGATGGAAAACTGACTATGAGCCAGCAATGCTCAGAAAGCCAACCACATCCTGGGCTGCATCAAGAGAAGCGTGGCCAACAGATCGAGGGAGGGGATTCTCCCCCTCTACTCTGCTCTCATAAGACCCCCCCTGCAGTGCAGTGTCCAGCTCTGGGGCCCCCAACATGAGAAGGACATGGACCTCCTCAAGCAGATCCAGAGGAGGCCACGAGGATGATCAGGGGGGTTGGAGCACCTCCCCTGTGAGGACAGGCTGAGGGAGTTGGGGGTGTTCAGCCTACAGAAGAGAAGGCTCCAGGGAGACCTTATAGTGGCCTTTCAGTATTTAAAGGGGGCTACAGGAAAGCTGGGGAGAGACTCTTGATCAGGAGGTGTAAGGATAAGACGAGGGGTAATGGCTTTAAACTGAAAGAGAGTAGGTTTAGATTAGATATAAGGAAGAAATTCTTCCCTGTAAGGGTGGCGAGGCACGGGCACAGGTTGCCCAGAGAAGCTGTGGCTGCCCCCTCCCTGGCAGTGCTCAAGGCCAGGTTGGACGGGGCTGTGAGCAACCTGGGCTAGGGGAAGGTGTCCCTGCCCATGGCAGGGGGGTGGAACTAGGTGATCTCTAAGGTTCCTTCCAGCCCAAACCATTCTGTGATCCCGTGAATTACAGTAATAGAAACATCAGTGCTTGTCCCCACCCCCACTCCCCAATTTTAAGTTTTTCTTAATATTATATAAATACACAGTAGACCACAGGAAATTTTCAACATCCTTACACTGCTTTTAATCACCACATACTATTCATCACCAAAACTGCACATTTAAAAAGCTCTTATTCAAATATGTTTGCTGACTTTAAAATAGACCTTGACAACATTATGGGTAGTAGTAACATTTGGAGATGAGCATAAAGAAATAAAAGTAATCAAATCTGATGCTTCAAGAGGAGGATTTATTTAGTTTTTCTCCTCGAATATGGCTGTGTGTCTTCCTAATCATCAGGTACCAGCCTTTGCTGAAGTCAGATTAGACATGCCTATTGTTCTGAAATGATCTGGTACATGCAGTACATCTACCATAATTCTCTGAATACCCATCACATGGGTAATGCCTTTGAATCTCTAATAACCTCAACTTATCTCAGGTCATGGACCAAGAGGTAAAAGATTCAGAATATTGCTATGCTACACAGTGAAGTGCAACGTCAAGACTTTATTTAGGGTCCTAAAGTAGACTAGTGACGACAGGATTGTCACAGAGCTTAGTAAGCCCTGCCTCAAAGCAGAACCAATTCACTCTCGGGCACAGCACTCAGATGCAGCTATTGTGCTTTAAGATCCAGAAGCAGTGAGACATTCTTTGTGTCCCATGCTATTGTGCGGTCCAGATGTGACCTCTGTGTTCTCTTATTAACCCTCTGAACTCCACAGCTCTCCCTATCCCAGTGAAAACAAATCGGATGCCTTACAGGGACACTTAATGACCTTCCAGTGTTGCCGCTGTCCCATCCCATTCTGAAACTAAACCAGTGACCCTGATAATGAGTGTTTCTTGTCCGAAACTATCAAGCTTCAGCTTTAATTTCTAGAATCTTGTTTTGCCTTCTGTTGGTAGAATAAAACGGTTTCTACTAACAGAACACTTTTCCCACTTGTGATGGTTGATTTTAATCAAATCACAGCTCGTGTTTTTGGATAAATCAGAATTTCTTCCATATTTGACCGAAAGAGCTGCTTTCAGACATTGATTGTTATTGTAGCTCTTTCCAAACACCTTCTTTTGCCTCCAAAATGCAGAAGCTTGATCTACATTCTGCCTGGGCAAACTGGCCTGGGGAAGCGATCTGAAACCAGAGTACTACAAAGACCTGATGCCTGACCTCCACATTACACTTGGTCTGAGTAAGTTCAAACAGTTTATCAATCTATTTTGCCCTTGAAATAGGTGCCAGTTAGTTAAATGTAAAATGTAACAAAAATGGCAAAGGGTGTTTTTTTTGTGAAAATTCTAATGAGCCATTTCCATTTAAAAGTAATTTACTTAGCAGCATATAAGAATACCTGATTATTCACGTTATAAAGACCACAGTGCAAGGCCTTTACTAGAGCCAAAATACAAGCCCTGCTGTAGATGTAGCTCCTTCCTTCCACCAACTGAGAATGGAAGAGACTAAGAACCATCCATACTGGGAAACAGCTGCTCTTCTATAAATGAGGACATCTGATGAGATTAACTATGCTAAAGGATTGCTGAAGACTGGGAAAAGTCCCTTCCCCAGAATCAGCATATGCCAAATCAGAGATGCACTACATGTGATTTGATGCACTGATCAGGGCATCATCTTACAGGTGATCTGAAGACAACTAAGAGGCTAATATGTAATGGAGACATAATCTCTACCTTTGAAACACATTATAGAGTCCCTCCAACTCATGAAAGCTGCAGGTCTCCCTCTAGAAAATACCTTTACCTGTTTTGCTAGCTGTGTCTCCAATCTGTTGATAAGATCCTCCTTTCCTTGCACTGTGCCCATCAGCTCCTGGTATTTCCTGTGCAGAGTGCTGTCTGATTCACCAGTCTTCACATTGGCTAGTCTTATCTTCTCTTCCATAGCTCTGACCTGTAATGACAATCAGAGGAAGATTAAAAAAATAAAATAACGCAAATGAAGGAGCTGCTTGTTTAGTGGTAATAACTGAGCATATTTGTGGGTTTCATATTTTTGAAGTCGTGAAAGAAACAAAAAAGCCAAAACCTTCAGGTCACACTGAAGTTTATATCCACATTTGTGAAAAGAACATTTTCCATTCAGTTGTAATGCCAAAGCAGTAACAGATGCAAACTGAAGCATGAACAAATCATTGTGGACTGTGAAATATTTGCACACTATTAGTCAAAGAGACCATACAAAGAGACCAAAGAGGCATTATAGTCTACACAGACATATGAGCAAGGTACACCACATTTTCCTCTTTTACAATATCATGGTGAGCTTTTTACCTCATTCACTACCAAGGTATATACCACAAAACCCTGGCCATATGCTTTGCATCAAGATTTCTATAGGGAAATGTACTATAGAGTTCCTTCCTCCTCCTATCCCCAGCTCAGACGTGTTAGAGAGCCAGAAGCTGCCAAAACAAGTGTTTTTTCCAGACCTGCTAAGGAGTTACCATGTTAGATATTTCAGAAGCTTTGCCTATCTTTGAGCTCCTGCCAGTGCCAACACTTGCTCATCTCAGCCAGAGAAGCACCAGTGTAATGCTCCTTCACTACAAAGTTTCAATGTACTAAAATCTAGCTGCTGCTGAAGCCTTTCAAGTTTTTAGCAAGTTTTTAAAACTTCTCTGCTTTCTTCAAAACCTATGTCTCTCGATATGCCAGTCTGTTCCATCATTACCTCACCCTTTTGCAATGGATTATAAGACTTCATTTCTAAAGGTGAATGGAATTGCATCAACTTAACTCAAACCTGCTAATTGCAGCATTTGATGATGGGAAAATATCCAGTTCCAACACATCCCAGAAACACTAAATCTGCAAAAGGAACCAACTCCAGATACCATTAATTTGGCATGAATTTGGAACCAGGAAGGCAGAATGCAGGCAATGATCTGAGCACTTCACAGAATCTGTGCAAGAGAGTTACTCGTGCTCTGTTGAGCAGCCTACACTTCATATACTTGCAGAAGCTGTGTTTTGTCCTCCTGTCTGTCTGCATTAGGCAGAGAAGCAATCTGCCTCTTCCTCATACTGAATCAGAAAGGTAGGCACCCAACATCCGAGCCAGAAAACTAAGCCTGCTGAGTCGGATGTGTTTTCATTAGAGTTTAGGGTGATTATAGTAAAAAGAAATGGCCCCTCCTTTCTGTCTGATGCCCAAATGCTGACTCTGTGATAGAGGCTCAGAGAGGGGACTGCAAACATGTGATTTCCTTAATTGAGGTTGGCAGCTACAGGGAGCCCATTGAATTAACAAATCCAACCCCCCCCCGACTCCTGGAGAGAAAGATAACAAGGGATTTTGCACTTGATGCAGAGCCCTCTCATTTGTCAGCTGCTTCTCATTCATGGTGAATATACTTGTTAGTGGAAAGGAATGGTCCTACTCCTATGCTGTCACTTCTTCAGGCTGTCAGGTAACAATTAAGTACTTCTCTAGGAACACTTATCTCTGGATGTGGATAAGGTTTGCTGGAAAAACAAACTTCGAGGGCTGCTAGTCTGCAGGACCTGCTGGTAGCAGGATAATGAAGGCAACCCTCATTTCTCCTACACTTTCCCAGACAAGTTCTCCCTTTCTGACCCATTCTTTGACCTGGATTTGACTTGCTCTCCATCTGCTCCCTTGCTGTCATTGCACCTAACCATATCATGGACAGGCTACTCCGGTCATTGAGGTGTCTGCTAGCATGTAATCTCCTTCATTGGCGTGTGGCAATAACTATTTCCTGCCAGTGTTGTCACAGTGACATTACCTTTGCCTGTCTTGGCTGGGTGTGGACTTCCTGATACTGCTCTCAAGAACAACTCCTGTTCTTGGTTGGCAGTTGCTGATCTACTGTAGAGGCCAACAGCACAGCATCTTTCCTATATTAAAGCTGGTCAGAAAAATGTCTTGATGTCAATATGAAACTGGTGTGGAATAGTACGTTCTGCAGACAGAATAGCTTACCAGGTATTTCAAGTTCTTGATTCCTAGACTTCTAACACTGTCTATTCAGTCCTTCACTACTGGTCAGCTTTGACAGCTGTTGTTGGCCATCTTGCACAGCTTTTAGTTCTGCACTTTAATCTCTAAGCACTCAGTCCTGTAGCTCTTGTCCAGCTGTAGGGAGCTGGTTCACTTCAAACCTTCTCTTCCACAGTGGTCTGCAGTGATGCAGGAGCTCAGAGCCTCTGGCCCTATCTGCTTCTTTTGTTTTTATAATACTCCTCACAGTGCAGACTGTATGATGGTCCGCTTCCCAAAGGTCCATCACTCTTCATAGCCTGTTCACAAGCTGAAGTCTCCCTCTCCCCTTCTCCATTATCCAAGAAGCATAGAAGGACTAACTTAGACAATATACTTAATTTTTAGATGGTTACAGTAATATGCAATGAATCCAGCTCTTACTGCTATTCTCCATGGGCTCCTAAGCCAGAGCAGTAATTACCAAAAAGAAAGTCCAAAACAACTGATAGATTTTGCAGACACACCCTTACTTCTTTCACAGAACCTTCTCCACTTGTAGACAAGTCCTTACCAGTACTCTTAAGTATTTGTTTTCTGAGGATCTGGCAGGCAGCTCTATCTCTGTGCTTTAATCCTGAGGTACAACATCCCCTTCCTTTTCCATAGCCAAGCACGCCTATCACAGATGAGGGAGTAAAGGCTGTGAAGCCGAGAGGCAGACAAGGTGCTGGTTTTCACTTAGGGTTGAACCTGTTTAGGCACCTATTCATTGCTCAGGCTCAGAGACTGGGAAGTAGACCAGAAAAATCCACTCAGCACTGTAAATCAGTGTTTCCCTACCAGTGCACAGCACTGCAGAGTGCTGTCTGTATCCTAGGCTGGAGGGAATTTACTGCTGGGCTTGTACCAGAGCAACCATAAGAGAATCTCTTACCTGTTTCTCTGCATCCTCAGCTCTTTGCTCTGCTTCTATCACTCTCTGTTCCAATTCTTGCATCTTCAGAGCCAGAAGAGAAAGAGGGGAGAGGGGGAAATAAAAGAAAAGAAATTAACGTCCCCTGGAAGTTCACATGTTTTACTCAGTAATCTTCCATTTTGTGTGCAGGTCTACAGACCTTTGGCATCTTCTGGGTTAACTGGACAGCTTTGACCAAGGAAAAAAAAGCCTTTGACCTTTTCCAGTCTTCTGCCCTACTTCAAATTTACCGGAACTGCCTTCTCATTAGCGAGCTTTATCATTCATTACACAGGTCAAGGGAATAGTCCCAAAGTCTTGACACTGTCTCTACAATTTACACACCATGGGCTGTCCCTGTAAGAAGCCCATCTACAGCATGCCATTCTTTCTTAGTTTTATTTGAGATAGGATTCAGTCACAATGGTAAACAAAAATGAATACATCTTGGAAAGCTCACAGCAGGTTCTCTACAATGCCACCTTATAACCAATGAATACTTTGCCTTGGTTTCAAAAGCAGCATAGGCTCATAACTGACAAGATTAACAATGATCTTAATTTTCCTATGCTTCTTTGCATTTTAAAGAGCTTTGCAAACTGACAGTTCTGTGATTCTTTATATGAGCATTGCTGCTATTGAAGTCAAAGGACACTAAATAGAATTTTATTCTAAATGTATATACACCACTTCATTCTCAGTGAAATGCAAATGTACCTAACAATTTACCACTCAAGCCCAGACTTTTTTTTTTTTTTTTAATTGCAACTAAGGATCTCATTCAGTTCTTGCAAGGCCATCTTCTTCTGCCTGCCCTGCTTCAAAGGGTCTCAGATTTAAGCTGAAGTCAGATTTAATATGAAGTCACAGAGACTTTTCATCCACTAAGCTGCAAAATTTGAGAAATGCTTCACAGAATTTCCAGCATTTATTTGTTTTACTAATGAAGAAATGTTTTACTAACAAAGGAATGACACAGAAGCAGTTTCAGCAGACTAAAAGACTTGTGTTTCAAGCAGAAAATCTATAAGGGGAACTGAACTCCTTTTCTCTCCAGTGCATTTTATGACTCTTGATAAAGCACCAGAGCCAAGTATTCAGGTTGGTCACTATGAGGGGCAAACCAATACTTCTGAAAATGGGATTTACTCCTCTTGGGTTGATCATCCAGAATGGGCATGACAGCACTCCTGTGTCTTCCCTTTCTTCAGACGGCAGTAAGACAACTGCCCTTTTCATACATACATGTTGATCGTAACAGCAGACTGCCACCTATTAACAGACATATCAGAAAGGTACATATATGTAGACACCTCAATGGTCATATAACTAAAAAAGCCATGCCATAACAAATTCAAAACATGAAGATCTGAAAGTGCCACATTTAGCATGATACCTCTCAGGATTCCTCCCTGAAAAAGCAGACAAGGACACCACAGTCTATGGAGCTTAATATCCAAATCAAGAAGACATCCTTGGCAGAGGAACAGAGATATACCACAGAAGACTGCATAGAGAGTCAAAGCTGCTCCAAGTGAAGACCCAGTCTCCAAGTCTTGGTAGAGACTGAGCTCAAGGTAGTCTAACACTGACAGCAGTGATCTGTGTTGCGACATGAGCCTGTGTCCATTAGGAACAGTCATCAACCCGTGCATGTATCTATTAGTCTCTGGGTAGTCATCACCAGACAGGTAGCAGCAAAATATACTGGTGAAAGACAGATGCTAACTGGAGACATAATAACACCTTGTGAAACAAAGACTGACTCTGAAGCTACTGTCATAAACAATGGCCTCTGCTAGTTTTCAGATAAACTGACAGGGTCTACATTCGCAGCGCAGATTTTAGATGAATCTCTGGGCCTTTTCCCAAAGGCTGTCCTCTTTGACTAATAATTCAATCCTCCACAAGGTGAGCGATCTCTATGAAAGACTCAAATTATTTTAATAAGATAGTACCATTCTGACTGAAAAACTCTTTGTTGTCCCAGCCTCATGACAGTTTGCTTTGCATTGCTAGCAGTCCTGGAACCTGATCGGGACAGAGAATGCATGTTGGGACCATTCCTGATCACTAAAGAGTTATGAAACTTCTTGTGCAAGTAGGGTGACCTGGCTAAGTTCCAGTCAAATAAATTATTTTTGTCACCCTAATTCCCTCCATAGCCTTAAATGAACTTGTACTTTTCTTTGCTTCCTGTAGTACACTGTTGGGTTGTCCCACTATGAACTGTTAAATAACTTCTGTGTTTCTCATGTACACAAAATTATTACTTCAACTATCCCCGGTGTCAGCTGTCTCACTGAAGCACATTCAGATTTAATACATCCATGCTTGCAAGGCTCTTTCAAATCCCCCAATGATTTAATAATAATGCTTAGTATTTATGTGGGTCCTTTCATTCAAAATGCTTTATAATTTGACAAATGCTACTAAGCAACTTAACCCAGGTCACATAAAAACCCCAAACCTTAGTGACCAAGCCAAATTCAAGTAACTCTTCTCCCAAACATTAGCCCAGACAACTTGCATGGAGAGAAGCAGCCCCAGTTGTATAGCCATGCTTGTGTGAGACAAAAGAAGCTTTTTCCAAATGTTTATTGTATTGAAGTATGACAGAAGCAGGTTAAAAGCTACCCAGATGGCTCTTCTAAAAGCTGCAGAAGATCCTCCTATCAACCATTCACACAGGCTTTCCCTCTCCTCAGAACACACTAAATAAAACTGAGTGAAAAAAGATCCTGCATGTCTCAGCCTCATTTTCCTCCTGCTGTTCTCTTCCAGAGCTTGCTCCTAACCAGGTCATCTTGCTGCCAAGACAACAGCCTACTATGTCACCAAGAGGAGTATCCCTTTCTTTGTGTGTGTACAGGAAAGTCAGAGTGGAAACAACTGCCTGTTTCCAAAGAGACCAGATCCCTGCTGATGTCCACAACAAGGCAGGACCCAGGGGTCTCATGCCCTGTGGCGCTCCAGCATGATGGCAGAGCTTTGTCTGGGAGGCCAGGGCCTGGGCTCCCTCTGCCATGTCAACCCACAGCAGGCTCTGCACAGCTTGGGCAGCACTGTTCAGTAGCTGAGACCGAGCTACCAACATGGAGGCTCACAACACGTGAACTAGGGCACTGGCAGTTGAACTGCTGGGTTTTAAATTCCTGATGTTCTGAACAGCGATCTAGATTATTCAATCTAAGCGGATTTTTAAAATCTGAAGTATTTAAACTGTTAGCACACATTGTACTACCAGTGCCAGGCATGAATGGTTGGGCTTCTTTTGTGGGTTAAAATAGTAAAATCTGCCTTAAAATCATAAGATTGGTTATAAAGACTAATTTAAAATGTGGGGCATCTGTTTTCTAAGCCTTTTAATCAGTAGCTTCCAGACTCTTAAGACGACCTAGCTGGTGAGCAAGTATCACACCATTAACATTGTTCTTTGCTTTCACTTGCAAAGCCATTTTGGTTTTGTTTTGGTTTTGTTTTTTTTTTTTTACATTTTCCTGCTGCAAACAATATCAGAAGATCTATGGGGCAATGGTCATCACAGGCTGGCCACACAGCTTCAAACTGTGCCCACTTCACATTTTTCAAGATCTTCTGCCTAACCCCCCCCTTCACCAAGCCTTTTTGAAAATGAAGTACTCTTTAAAATAAGTCTGAATCTCACAAATAGAACTGTAAGAAAAGAAATTTAAAAGTCATAGTTGCTACAAAATCTATGATAAAAATCTCTGAAGCTGGCATCACTATGCACAAAGCATGTGCCTCCTTCACTTCTGCATCACCACCCACCTGCGGGGGAGCAGCGTGGACAGGAGCCTCTGTTGCTGTGACTCCTAGGAAGCCCTGTGGCAACTGAGGAAGAGGGAGGGAGGGTCTCTGAGCAAGTTGTTGCAGAGCAGCCAGGAACCCGAGGCTCAGAACACTTCCAACAGCAGTGCTCAGCATGAGCATAGGGTGCTGAGCACCTGCTCTGGTGTCTTGAGTCCACCTATGTCAGGAGAGCCTGCCAGAGCTGCCCCACAGTCCCTGAGGCTCTCCCCTTCCCACATGACATTCAGAGAGGGGAACCACAAACCTGCTGCCTCTCTGACCCTTCAAGTAAGCCTACAACAGCAATGTACAAGTAGTTACAAAGTAACCTGATCACTGAACCAAGCTGCTCCTTAATCTTAACAAAGGGAACATCTCTTTGACTGAAAGGCTGATTAATGGCACTCAGGCCCCTTCCTTGAGGAGCCCCCTGAAGCAGATGAAGCTTCTCTGCCATGGCCCACAAATCTCCCCAGCAGGAGAGTTAAAAGATCTCTGACAAGTCTGTTCTCCAGAAAGAAAGTCTGGTAGGTGGGTTTCTTTGTTTTGCATGGGGTTAGTCAGGAAATTTCTCAAAGCAGAAACTAATTAATCACAAGGACCCAGATCCCATAATGCAGCAGAGTACTTCACATGAGTACTGGTTGTCTTTACCAGACCTGTGCCACGTTTCTACATGACTTATTTTAACATGCCTTTTTCTAAGTAGACTTTACAGCTACTTTCAATGTTTTCCAAGGTAAGTAATCACTAAGGTCCATCTCAGAAGCTACCTTGAAAAGATGAAAAAGGTGCTTAGAACTGCATAATTTCTTAAAAATTAAGGGTGGAAATGAATGCCTCATGCACTACACAGCATTAGTGGAAACACATTTACAGTGAAAGCAAGGATGAGAATTGCTTCACTCTGAAGTAGATGTCATTTGGATGTTTTCACATCCAAAACCAACAAACAAGAATATACACATAAAAGTTACATAATACAAAATGGAGCAAAAGTGAGTTTAGAACATATCTGTCATCAGGTACAGCTTAAAAGCATTTGGAGTAAACTACAGTCAGTTGTAAAGATTTCAGCTTCATTAGCAAACTATGACTGAAAGAAGCTGTTCTCGCTTTCCAATAGTAACTGAATATCTGAGCAATCTTGGACTGTGGTAATGCAAGTCACATTTTGAAACAAAGAAGGAAACCCACAGCAACCTATGAACTTGGATTTTATGCAAATTAAGTTTGTGAAAAAGCTTTGATTCAAATTGAAAAATAACTCAATTTAACGTAAAGAAAAGCCACCAGAAATCCACAGCATGATGGAAATAAAAAACCAACCAAACCCCTCAAATCTTTGTCTGTCCTCTACCCTAGGATGCAAACAAATTCACTTAATGCACTTGAAAGAGATTAGATGTCTCTAAAACCACAGATGTCATGAAAGTTTCTAAAACCCACATCTTAAAAGTATCTTGGTGCTGCTCTGCAGTATTCCCAGAACCTTTTGACTGGATATGCAATGTTATTCTAACTATGGCAGTACATGTACCCCTGTCCAGTCTTCTAACATCACAGCATAACTTGCACTCCCATAAACCTTTCTCTTGCCAGCCAAGTCCTGATCCTGCTGTTCTTATCAAAAATCTTTCCTCTGCAGCTGCTTCGGTCACTTTAGACATCCAGAATCTCGCTGGTAGTGTTTTCCAGCAGAGTCCAAATACCTGGTGATTTTCCTGTAAAGAAGGCCAAACTCTTATTTTCACTAATGTCACTTTACACCACTGACAAGCACATCTCTATCTCAAGTGATAAGCAGCATGCAATGTCATACTGTAATCAAGAGATCCTTTCTGCAAGTAACAGTTTCATTGGATAGCTCAGCATTTCAGGATTTTTTTTTGCTTTCATGACATAACTCAGTGCAGAGTAGAAGAAGCCATCACTGCCTCACCTTCTCAGCTAACAGCTCTCGGATCTTGCTTGCCTGCAAGCGGAATTTGAAGAGCTGGGACTCCAACGCAAGGCATCGCTTTTGCCAGTCCATACAACTGCCATTCTCCACTGTGAGTTCTGCCATTGTGAAGTTAAACATCCATTTGGGATGGGATGTCATCTAAGGTGCTCTAAAAATCCTAAAGAAGAGAATGGAAAAAAAAAATATGCATTATAGACAGGCAAACTTTTCACCCCTTGTGCCTAGTCTTCCCTGGCCCATCTTACAGGGCTGGTAACAAAGGCCATTTCTTCTGCAAGCAGAAGACAAAATGGTACTACCCCAAGTTATTGATACTGCCCTCTGCCAGAGGTCACTTTTAATGGATAACAGATAAATATTCAAATAAACTTTTACCTTTAGAGCAAGTAAATAATTTACTAGTGAATCATACTGTATATTCCACAAGCGGCCTTACTGTCATCCTTACAGCCTTGCTCAGCATCTACCTATAGGAGTATGTTTGCTCCTGCCTCCTTTGTACCAGTATGTCTGTAAACTCTCAAGTCTCTAAAACCTCTCAAATGTAATGGAAGTCACACACCCATTATTAATTTGGGGCACCAGTGCCTTATTCTCTCATACAAACTGTGTTAAGAGGATGCAATGTATGAAGCAACCGTGTTCCCAATCCCTAATTATTTGATACAGTCTCTCCACAACAAGAGTGGAAAAGCAGCTGTACCACAGTATCTAAACAATGTCTCTGTTAAAACACAAAGAGATCCCAGCCAGGAATAAACCAGGGCTGAAGACAAAACATGCAGGTCTACTGAAGTCCTTGTAGACATCAAGAGATATACACAACTCCACAAAGTGGAAAAAGCTGTGGTTTGTGAAGGTTTTTTTATTTCTTACTCAGTAACTGTTTAGACATTTTGGATATTTTGTGCTCATTGTAAAAGATATGAAAAATGTAAGTAATAAGTGTCCTTAACCAAATTCTGGCATTTGTGAATGCTCACAAAAAGGTTTTTACAATCAATCCAGTGTGTGCAGTCCAGCAGCCAGCTGTATTACCCTACAGTAACAATTTTTTACAATGCCAGAACAATTATTAGTTCATCAGCTTCATCAAAACACTGAAATCCACACATTAAAGGAACTTCTCACCTGCTCACAGGCAAACTTGGTGCTTTCCTGAACTGGGACCAAAGTAACAGATCAAGACTTGGGAGAGAGCAGTGAAGTCACTCAGCCTCACTGCCTTTACATCTGCCTTTGCAGGGTGGGAAAGCTTAAGATATCCCTCTAGTTGTACCAACTTGCCAGGACAGCTGGCTCATATTTTGCACATAAGAGACCTGAGATTCATGTTACCTTAAGTATACATAACAGCATGAATATACATAACACAAACCCCTCTATCCAGCTATATCCCTGCTGTGCTGAGTTAAGGAAAACACATTTTATACTCTTCAGCTACAAACATGACCTGTGGGTTATTTTATATACAGGTTGCTTTGCTCAGTAATAGAAAGTTTTCCAGGCAGCAGGAAAAGTTGCCTGCCTTTCCAGTAATCTGCAAAATACTATTCTAGGTCAGAAGGTAGGTTAAAGTAAAACAAAGAAAAGGCACACTCATGTCCTGTACTGCACCACTGAAAACACTCTCTGATAAGACGACCAGTATTGTACAAGCAGCAGACCTACAGCTTTACAGAAATACAGAGGCCATCCTTTTCCACGGCACAATCCAACAGATCAATCTAATTAATCTCTAGCCCCAGCTCCTTGCCGGGCACTGAACCAGGTTACCTTTGGCATACTTCACAACATCGTAGGGTTTCCCTCTAAGGTAGTGCCATCAGTCTTTCTTAAGCCGAGAGAGTGCACTAAGTCATGGAAGGATCCTACAACACAATTAAGTTTGTTAACAGCTAACTCTGTTCTGGACACAGTAATTCAGCTCTCAGATGAAATTCGGTTCTTTCATACAGGTATAAAGAGATTTTAGTCTTTATTCATGAGTTTAAGACCAAAGAGGACATAACAAATGAATGGGATAAACTCTAGTGGCACAAAGTAAAATTAATTTGATTTACCACTCAGTTTATGCCAGAACAAGAGTAACTTCCTCATACTGTCCATAACTACTGGTTGAACTAAAATACCCCATTTTCAATAGGAAGTCTAAGACTGGGATAGATGTCCTGAACTATTAAGTCTTGTTCCTTCTCACTGTAGACAACTGCATCACATAATCTCTTTCATAAATGAACACAGCCCTACCCTAGAACTGTGCAGGCAGTTTTGCTCCCACTATTCCTGTTGTTCTAGAACCTCACCCATCTAACAAGCTGCCTTCTAATTACTAGCATAAATATAATCATAACCAGCTTTTATCTGTCCATTCTTGTAGATTATTGCCTTTTAAGCTTAGCTATTTTTTTCCCTCCCTCCTATTTACCCCTTGGTGTATTTATAGATGTCAAAAGCTTCTCCTTAGAGACCTCATTCTGCAAGGGTTGAGATAAGGGGCTCAGACTCATTAGAAAAGCTCACCACTTGCCCTCTGCACCTGTTCCAGCTTCAGTGGACATCATATAAAATAACTGGGTTTCCATCTTTTTCACTCCAATTCACACACACAGGTAACCACAACAGCATCTGAAAAGCTGCATGCAGCTTCTCCAAAACCTTGTGTAAAGGCATTCAGTACTTTCCACTCTCCCAGGGAATACCTCACCTGATTGCATTTGCCTTTTTTACAACCACATTACACTGGTGGTCAACATTCACAGACAAGCCAACACAACTGGAGCAGAGGCATCTCAGCTGGCTCTGGCTTTGCAGGGGACCCATTACGATGATACTGGGACAGATTAATAAAGCACAGCTCTCCACAAGATCAAGGATCTCTGTACTACAGGGCATTGCAAATTTTAACATGTCCATGGTTACACTGCAATTGATTAGCACATCCAGATCTTCTCCTCCTCTGCTCTTTTTAAATAGTGCTCTCACAGGTCTTATGCCCACTATATTACTACTTCTAATGTGTGATATTACTTTGGGTCATTAGAGTTTATCCCACCCTTACCCTTATCCCTGGGTCAGTCAACTCTTCCAGTAAAACACCTGCCTTCTAACAGCCTCCCTTTCAGGACAGTGTTATCACATTCTCTTTTGTAATTTCTTTGTCTATTTTATGATTCTTCTATTAATCCTCATCTCCTTCACTTAAGCTAATAACCTCCCCATGTGTCATCAAATGATTTCTGAAGGACAGAGATCAGAATTACAGCGTTTCCTCTGTAGCAAAAACCTTACCCTTTTTCAGAGAAAGGTTTTGTATCACAATGTCTCACATTAACCCCTACATTACAACTTTCTTTACAACTTCAAATTTATTCTGAATTCTCATTTACTGTTAAATGCATCATTCCTTCTCCCATTCTCCTGAACGTAAGCAGTTCATCTGTACTTTATGAATTACAGTATCAATTTTGCCAGACAGACTTTCAATCCTTGCTACTGGACCTGCTATGTCACATGCCTTTTTCTGCAATTCTTAACCATCTTAATCCACTAAATTCTTTGATTCCTCCTCTCCCCCACATATTGGTCTTTTTCATATCAGAATTAAAAAGTATATGGTTATATAAACCATATTTACATGGTTATATAAACCTGGTTCTTTTTTTCCCTTTGGCATATAAAGAAGTTAGGAATCAGACGGTTTCAGGTATATCATTCTTACTTTAGTAACTTGAAAAATAGGAAGCAGCCTCTTTATTCAAACAAGCTGAAATTTTCAAAACTTCATTCTTAAATGCACAGACACTTCTTAAAGAGTGGCTTGATTTTCAGTGTTACATATCAAACTTCTAATGAAGATAACGGGAACTTCAGAGTTCTTAGAACTTACTAGGGGCAAAATGACTGAATCAACTGCTAAATGCAGACATGAGACTTCTAGTTTTGACTATATCTGTAAGTTTTGATCAACATTGAGACAGATCAGACACTAAATGCTATATCCAAACTAAATATGATTATATTTACTTGGTGTCCATATCCAGCTGCAATTCTGATAAAGCTAAAATTAATACCAGAATGTCACAGTGTGAGGTTTTTTGTTTTAGATCAGAATCAGCTGATGTCCCACATATTGGTGGATCCAGACTACAATTCAAAACACTTTAGAGACTTTGTGTATCTCCAACTAGAAAGCCTTCCGAGAATAAAATGCAATTAAACACAAAGACTTTTAGGTGCAGATACAAATGCAAATAAAGCGTTTGCAGCTTTGTTCATTTTAGTGCAAACAATGTTGACAAGTGAACCAGTATTTCCGTGTTTCCAATGCGAGTGTCTCCTCAGCTCGGGAATCAATTTACCCAGGCTGTTAAACGGGATTCAGTCAGTACAGGAGTGCAGTTCTTAGCACCTGCCAGTAAAATGCACAAGACCCTGCCTGAATGCCAGAGCTGAATACTGGTCTAACTTCCAGCTACCATCTGAGTACAAAAGGAATCAGTAGAAATGTGATAAATGTAACACATGAAGGGACTGAGATTTCCTCCCACGTCTCTGCATCAACACCTAGAGGGTCAGCAGTATGGGCAATGGTCAAAACTCAGTGTGAAAGCCCGTACTATTAATCAAGTCCCTGCCCCCAGTCACCTCATTTTCCACTTCATAACCAGTTGCACCCCCCCAGATTTTTAACCCTGAGGCCATAGGAATTGTTCAGACACACAGTCATTTCCCATTCACAAATACCGCCTGGGATGTGCGGAGCACGGGGAAAAGAAAATAACGTGACAAGCTGTGGGAAGGGCAAGGCTTGGCGAGAGCCAGGGGGTAAAACAAAACAAAACAAAAAAAGCAAAACCCACAAAAAACCCACACACAAACCTCTACATCAGTGCAGGTGGCCCGAATAGCAGAAGTGCCAGAAGGCAGGAAGAGGGCTCCCGGTTTTGCCATTCTGCTCCCAGAGGTCTTGCCCCGCACACCCCCCAGGCGTCCCAGAAAGACAAGAGGAGAGCGCAGCACTGACTCACATTTACTCCTCAGCTGCATTTTCCCCTCCTGCGGCCGTTCCTCCCCCCACCTCCTCCACGCAGCTTCAGGGACCAAAGTCCCAGACCCGAAGGCAAACCTATTTATTTTAAGCAGCGAGCCCC